ACCAAAGCGTGTTCGTCAATCGAGACAAACGCTTGGTAATTGCGACATACGTGGATGACCTCTTGATCTTGGGGAAGGATCAGGAGGAGATTGCATCCGTCAAGAGCGCTCTGTCCGAGCACTTCAAGATGAGTGATCTCGGTCCAGTCGCCCACTATCTAGGAGTGAAGGTGATCCGCGAAGATACCTCATGGGGCAGTAAGATTAAGTTGACCCAGCGCGCATACGCTGAGAAGGTGCTAAAGACCTTTGGCATGGCAGATTGCACTTCTGTGGCGACTCCGATGGACGAGAATCTTGTGTTGGAACCTAGTAAAGAGGCGTCAGACTCGCAGGATCGGAAGTGGTACCAGCGAGCGGTTGGTAGCCTCATGTATTTGATGCTGTGTACTCGCCCCGATATCGCATACGCGGTCAGTCAGCTAGGCCGCTTTGCCGCCAACCCGTCAGAGAAACACCGTGCGGCCTTGAAGAGGCTTCTTCGGTACCTGAAGGGTACCAGTGACTACGGCCTGGTGATAGACACGCAAGATCGCCCAGACGTTCTGACGGGCTACACGGACGCGAACTGGGGAAGAGACGACGACCGCCGATCGACTGGGGGCTACGTCTTCACATTTGCCGGCACCGCCATCAGCTGGAAGTCGAAGCGTCAGACCACTGTAGCGCTGTCCAGCTGTGAGGCCGAGTACATCGCAGAGTCTGAGGCCGCGAAGGAAGCAATATGGCTGCAACGACTGCTGTGTCAGCTACGAGTTGGCCACTCTCAATCGAGCACGCCGGAGCCAGTGAGCATTCTCGGAGACAATCGAGGGGCTCTGGCCCTGGCCAAGAACCCAATGTACCATGCAAGAACCAAGCACGTGGACATCCGGTACCACTTCGTACGAGAGAAGGTGGAAGAGGGGCTGGTAAAGATGGAATGGATTGCTGGTGGGTTGAACCCAGCAGATGGACTTACCAAGCCATTAGGCAAGACGAAGTTTGAGTCCTTTCGACGGATGGTTGGCTTGCGGAGGATCGATGATTAAGGCAACGGCTCCCGGAGCACGGAACAACTTGTGCATAGCCGACAGCATCAAGGGGGAGCAGGGTTGCAAACAGATAAATCGAATTCAAATCTAACCAAATCAAATCAAATCTAACCAAATCAAATCAAATCTATCCAAATCAAATCAAATCAAATCGGGGTAAGCCTCATCCAAATCGAATCAAATTGCAACGCCCAGATTTATTTGGATATTTGATTATTTGGATAAGCCCCGCAGATGAGGACTCGTCCAATCACTGTCCGCCGTCTGCTCAGTTGAGCCAGCCAGTTTGCGTACCGTACGGCGGGTTTGCTTTTTATTAGGGGCATAGTAGGCTTGCTTTTTACAAGCACGGTTACTAACTATAGAACATATGTTGAGCCTGTGTCGGCCATGCGCGAAGAGTGGCTCGGCGAATCTATCCTTCTATTCCACCGTCGCTCCGAGCAGCGAGCGTAGTAACTGGTCTAGAAGTCTACAGTCCTCGCTAGCATTTGACATGGCGCAGTCTCCTAACGCCGACAGCACATCAGCAGGCCTTTCCACTGCGCCTTCTACTGCTTACAGCAACCTTAACAGCCCTATTAACTTTAACCTATCCGAGCCCAGCAGAGAGGGGAGGGGAGACACACCCCCCGCGGTCGGTTACACCGGTTACGAAGGCATTGATTAGAGCCGCCTTCCAGGCTATTGCATGCGCAAGCATGGAAGGAGGGTGCGGACGGGATAGGTGTGGGAGCATGGATACGACATCGAGAAAGCCGGGTCAGGTCGACGTTCCTGGCTCTGTAAGGAGTGTCATCGAAAGAGGGCTACAACTACGCACATATACGATTCTGCATCCACAAGTCAAGCAAACAGCTATATGGAAAGTGTCCACCGAATTAATAAAGATAGGCAACTGCCGCTAAAGAGGAAGAAACAACGCACGCTTTTTGACATGGCAGACCTGGACTCTCATCGGCCGAAGGACCAGGCTTTGATGAATGCTTTTATAGCTTCATTCGATCCTATTCATTTTCAAGCTTTGCTCATTCAATAGGTGGCCTGCGACAATGTGCCGTTCAACAAGCTTGAAAGTCCCTATTTCCAAGACTTTATGGGATACGCAAACGGTGCGATTATCGAGTCAGGGAGTCTCCCAACTCACAGCACCATGCGGAAATGGATTGTACGGTCCTTTAATCGCCATAAGGGGGTTGTGACAGAGCTTCTCAGCTGCTCATTGGGCCGGATTAATATTTCCTTTGACGCCTGGACCTCCCGCAAGTTTACGTCCCTTCTTGGTCTTACTGTGCACTTTCTTGACGACGAAGGGAAGTTCCGTACATTCCTTCTGGGCCTGCCACAAATCGAGGGTCGTCACAGTGGCGAGAACCTTGCAGACCGCGTTAGTGAAATAATTCACGAATATGGGCTGGAGGATCGTATTGGCTACTTCGTCACAGACAATGCGGAGAACAATGACACCTGCCTTGAAGACCTAGGCGCTGAGTTCGGCTTCGACAAGCAGCACAGGCGGCTTCGTTGCTGTGGACATATTATTAACCTCGTCGCCCGGTCCATTCTCTTCGGCACGGACGCCGATGCCTTTGAGGAGGACTGCCAAGCCGACAAAGAGGTCCAAGACGAGATGAAGCTCTGGAGGTCGAAGGGCCCAATCGGCAAGCTGCACAATATTGTCCACTGGGTGCAAAGGTCGGGACAGCGCATAGAGAAGCTCCACAAGCTCTAGCTTATTGAGAACACCGCCTTGAATCTTGAAGACAAAACAACGTACAATGTGATCACGGATAACGCTACCCGCTGGAACTCCTCTGAGGCGATGATGGAACGGGGTTACCAGCTTCGGAATGCGCTCGACTCTATGGTCCAGGCAGAAGCTACGGAGTGGAATCAGTACGTAGCCAGGAGGACTTAGAACGGGACAAAGCTGATGCCCAAGAAGAGCCGAAAGAAGCCTGCGATTGTTGACGATAAGATGTCTGCTGAGGACTGGTCAGTGATTTCGGAGTACCTGGCTCTATTGAAGCCGCTAAAGACAGCTACCAAGCGCCTCGAAGGCCGACCCAAAGAAGGTGAGCCAAATCCAGCTTCCTGCCGCTTAACTTTGTGTTTATATTTTTCAGGGAAATTCGGTGCGGTCTGGGAGGTTCTGCTAACAATAGAGTGGCTTCTAAAGCATCTGGAAGAGTCAAAGATACAACATGAACGAGATGAAGAACCACACTTACGGATTGGTTGCAATCTTGGTTGGATGAAGCTGGACCAATACTACACTCTCACTGAGGACAGTCCTGCATATCTCGCAGCCCTTGTCCTCCACCCCGCCTTTCGGTGGTCAACTGTCGAGTCACAATGGGCTGATCATCCCGATTGGCTAGTGAGAGGAAAGGCAGCCGTGCAACAACTGTGGAAGGAATATCGCATCCTCCCTGTCGAGCGGGATACGATACCTAAGCAGCCCACTGTTACAAGGAAGACCACCGACCTAGATGACTTTATGGCGTCCATCAGAAAGCCCACCACGCAACCTGCACCTTTACCTTCAGCTACGCACGATGAGTACACAGCGTGGATTGCCACTGCCGATCCAGGCGACTGCTCGGTGGATGATCCGATTCAGTATTGGCTTCTCCGAAGACGCCAGTATCCACGTCTGTCACGGATGGCAATCGATCTCTTTTCAATTCCTGCGATGTCGTCCGAGCCGGAGCGAATATTCAGCCTTGCAGGACACATGGTTACAGCCCAGAGAGGCCGACTGCAAGCGGATATTATAGGAGCAGCTCAATGCATCTCCTCGTGGGAGAGAAGTGGGGCTATCCAAATATCCAAATAGATCCAAATAGATCCAAATCAATCCAGATCAAATCAAATCAAATCAAATCGACCATGGGTCTATCCAAATCAAATCAAATTGAAGGTCAGATTTGATTTGATTTATCTGTTTGCAAGCCTGAATTGACTTCATGTCCTGGTAGTCGGATATCGATGGCTGGCTCGTATCCACCGAGTCTCCTCGGAAGGATTTACTTTCGCCGGTAACCTTATCGATCTTATGTGTCGATTCGAGGTGGTCGAGCGCTGTAGAATTGCCATTCGACACTGCTGGAAGCTCTTGCTGACGGCGCTGTTTTTCACAGAGGTAGCAATACCATACACGTCTCCCATATTTTTTGGCCTGTAGATCTTCACCGTATATCCAGATCACCGACGTTCGCTTCTTTGTTGCTTTAGGGCCCTTCGCTAGCACCGCACAGCGGATATACTGCTCTCCCCGGAGCTTAAACTCATCTGGCTGGATCAGAGCTTCTGGGTCGCGACGGGGGTTAATAGATTCAGGGGCAAGAATAATATTATCAGACTCGGAAGTCTTAGAGGAAGAGCGAGCGAAGAACTGAGTAATTGTTAGTGCGGCCATTTTAGGATGTCTGCCGCCGCTGAGTGGGTTCATACCATTTTTAACATATTAGCAGTCGTAGGTCCCGCTGGCCTGCCAGATTCATTATTGAATGCTATTAAGAAGTCATTGGACTAGATGAACTCCTTCTGAGAACGCGCTTCTGGGGTAAAGCGTACCTGAAGCAAGAACGCCGAAGATGTGACTCACTCTTCCTAATTAGGTTAAGTTGCTTCCTAATTAGGCATGGTCCATTGGCGCTCCAGGAGCCTCCAGACCTCTCGATCCAGTCCAGTCCAAATTTCTCAAACTCCGGATCCAGTCCAGCCAAATCCAGTCCATCCAAATCCAGTCCAGTGCTAGTCCAGTCCAATTAGATCACTGCCAAAGGCAGTGAACAGCTCATGGTTGTCACAGGCTTTGAGGAATGCCGCGCGGCTGAGGCTGCCGAGGACTTACTCGGTGTCGAGCTTGTTATCTTCCTAATACCTCGGCATACTTACTCGGTGTCGAGCTTGTTATCTTCCTAATACCTTGGCATCAACATCCGCTTCACTACTACCGAAATGGAGACCGTTGGCAGCAGGAAGCTCTCCTCGGAAGGAAGCGAAGGCGACTACCACGATGACGACGGCCTCATTAATGAAGGCGAGAAAGGAGAGGCGTGGTATCGAGGCGACGAGATAGCTTCACTTCGTCTTTCTCGACCGCGCGACATACTTATGCTATGGGCGATTCTCTTCTCGGTTCTGGTCATGAGCATTTCACAAGCATGGTGGCTCGCGAGTGATGCCATATATTCGAACACATGTGAGGCGCTGAATAGAGTAACTTATCGAACTTGTCTAATATCGAACAAAAGCTCCTCAAACCTCTACTTGGCACGAGTCTTTCCATGTGCTCAACCGATCGGTGTATCCCAAGGAGCAGTACGCATTCACGGGAGCAGGCGCCGAGGTGACCGAACATATGTTCAACTCCTTTGATCCCAATAGGGGACTAGTTGCACTCCCGAAAGGCCCGAACATACTGCCTTCGAAGGAGTTCCCTGGGACACGACAAGGGAGGTTTTCATTCTATCAAGTTACTATAGCCTGCACAGCTTGGTATATGTCTTCCATATCGAATATCATCGATTCTCGCTGATTTGTAGTGTAGAAAGTGCTCTGGAATGAGCTCAATGAGCTCCGCGGTGATCGGCCGCATGATCCTCATGTCTTACACTCCGTAAATGTGATATGGGAGGACATCATCTGCGCGGCTCGTACAGACCCGATAGTTATCACGGAGGTGGACCGGGATGTCGTACATCGGGTCAATCAGACACGACAGTGTCGCGACTGGAATGATCTCGAACAATTTTCGCTCAAAAATTCGGCTTGCTACAAAAGACTTGGTTATAGAAGCGCGGACGATGATGAGTTTGCAGAGTGGCTGTTCTGCCCAGAGGGCTCGCCCTGGCAGGCAGCCGTAGATCGACATGTTGCTGCCAGCTAGCGGTCACAATGGGGCACACTGTCGAAAGGCGTGATATACGATTCTTCTGCTTTGATACCACGTCTTCAACGGTAGATCTGGATTGTACCGAGACATTAAAGAGGTTGCTGTTGTACATCGATCATTGCGCCTCCCTATGCCTGTATTACACCCTTATATAGCTCCTGGAATCGCTGGCAGCAATAGATGTTCTCCGCGACTGACTGCCACAATGATGCCACGCTCCAGGGTGTAAAGTTCGAGTCGTAACAGCATAGGAAGTGCCAAAATGGTGGACGCTTCTGTTGGCCAGCATCGCACACGCGAGCAAACGAACTTGCGTGCTCAACCCAGAAACTTCAGAGTCGTATTCTTTGGAGACGGAATGGGTGTTTGTCTGTTACGGCAATCGCTACGTAGTCGTGGACAGACACTGCGGTACTCTATGCCCTCGGCATCTGCAAGTCGTTGGTACCAAACTATGAGAAATTGATCTTCCGTTGCATGCTATTGCTTCTGCGCTGGCACAAGTTGAAGCGCAATCTTGCATGCATGTCTCGGCTCTCATTGCTTATCCTAGCGCCGAGACGGTCGGGAGTCATGTACTCCCGGATCCATCTAGCGGTACAGCGCAGCGGCTAGAGAATATACAAAGTAGGTAGCTAAGCTTCATCCGTAGTCCGCTTCATGTGACGACTTCCCATTCTGACCATATGTAAACTACTCCAACGCTAATCTCCGCCCATGATCGATTTTCTCAAACCGATCCCTTGTCTAAGAAATCCAGAAGAGCACCGAGCTGATGCGCAGAAACATGTTCTTGCAACGCAGTCAGCGCTATGGTCTTCTCGAAGCCTCTCGACGTCCGTTGCCACGAAAGTCATGGCAGCAGTCCAACGTGCTTGTATATCTTATCCTTTTCTTCGGCGTTGTGAACGTCGTTGAAGCACTCCTGATCTGGCTCGGCAGTGCCTGGTCAAAGCAAGCAATAGGTTCGCAGGCTCAAAAGTCCAATGTGTTGATCGAGCTGACAATAGCAGACAGCAGTGTTTTAGAACCAGTGTATCGCGAATCGATCAACACTGTTCGAAGACCCCTATACCCCGAGCGACTTTACGATGCCTCTCTCACTGCTCGAGCTGTGGACGAGATAGTGGACAGATACGCGACAGACCAAAAGATTATAGCGCTGCCACGCGGTGAGAAGCTATTACGATCGATACCATTTCCCTGGGATTCGACCATGGATGCGTTCGCCTTAGCCGGGTATCATAGCTTGCATAGTATCGTAGGCACTTCAGAAAGCTGCTGCTCGAGATAAACCGTAACTAACACTCTCTAGCAACTTCTTTATCATGCAATGCTTCTATATGCCGGCGACAACAGAACCATTAGTGACGCTTCGCTACACTCCCTGATCGTTCTCTGGGAGGATACTCTCTGCAACGTTGATTTGACACCTCTATCTTTCGCCGGAGACGTCGTATCGAACGAGACTGCGATTAAAGCAGCTGGGCAGATGCGGGTACGTAGCACTCTATCGTTCGTATCAAAGAGCAGCTTGCTAATCCAACGACAGTAAGTTTGCGGTCTTTCTTTCTGGACCGCTCGCTGTATTGATGGTTTTTACGCCAGTGTATGCCAAGACTGGACTCGAGTTGAGAGGTTTGCCACAGAGAACAACGCATGTTTCAGAGGATCTACTGCCTACCAAGGCCATATCGATGAATGGTCTGACAAAGACGACTGGTTGTATTGTCCACAGGGTTCACCTTACCAAGGCAGAGTGAATGAGTATATTGCGTATGGTAAATGAGCTACATAGACTACGGAAAGGAGGACCGGGCAAAGCAGGAGGGGAGTTTGCGTTCATTACCACGACTTAGAGGTAGTACGATCACGGGTGTTGAGATTAGGATCGGAATAGTCCTGACATTAGCAGCGTATAGGATTTTATCGAATTAGAAAGCATCGGTGTTCAACGCTTCTTGTAACATCGCTTGACTGACTCAACCCCAGTATGAAGCATATTGGCTCTTACCCTCAATCACGCTCACAAACTCCCGTGCAATGACTCTCTGCGTCTGCTCACTCGGATGCAGATCGTCCCACCACATGTGACTGTCAGGACTTTCGTGCGTAATGCAAACTTCGGGAGTGCAGTCGCGTACGGGTACTGCAACGTTCAACGGCGCTGTACCATTCAGGTAACCAGAAGGATTATTGTAGATATTCGTCATCTGTACCAGACATATGTCAGTCCTGCTACTTCGCTCTCACAAGCACCTTGAATCGAATTTCAGATAGTAGTGTTCGATAAAATCGACTTACTAGGCTATGCACATCAAAGACCGCAAACTTCGCTCCGTTGAAAGTCTTCCCGACCTCAGCCACGAATGGAGTCCGATACTGGTAGATGGCATTGACAGTAACAATTTGTTCCATCATACGGTAACTAATCTCCGTAGTATTGCTCGGTTTATCTGGCCAGTATGGGGACACAACTTTGCCCTTCTTTCCAGGAAGTCCGTACAGCGGCGCGAGATTCAACGGCGCAGCATTGAAAACAACAAAGTATCTCGCTCCACTATCATATAGTCTTTGCAGCTGGTTGAACACACAGTCCGTGTAGCTAACAATACTCGTTCCTGGGACTTGCGAGTCGGTCAACAGAGCTTCGTCGCCGAGGTCGTTTGTGCCGATCCACATGGCGTAGACGGTCTCGTCTTGGGGTGCATTCAAGAACTGCTTTCCGTTGGGCTCAGTGTACTCGGAGTCCGCAATGTAAGCCGGGATTTCGTATTCTTTGACCGTCGGGAAATTGAACCAAGGCGCAGCGGTACGTGGCGTGATCTCGTCGCTGCATTCTGCTCCATTCACGGCATAGTTGTACAAGTTCGCTCCAGTGTATTGCTTGACGTACGCCGCCCACAGACGACGACTGTTTGACGTGTCGTAGTCCTGCTCGTGGACGTTAGAGTCAGAGGGAGCAGTTATTTGTGGAGAGGCCGACTCACTGCTGATCCAGCCCATCCTATCGGCGGAGGAGTGTAATTGTGAGCATCAAAGTAATTGAAGCGATTGTCATCAGTATAGCTATCTCCGAAGGCCACTAATGTGGTGAATCGTCCAAGATCCCATGACTGTCCTAATGGCGTTGATGGCTGCCTGTCCCAGAAGTATGGCCAGGGAGGTGATTCCGCAAAAGCTGTACCAATAAGACGTGACCACGCAAACATTAGAGAGGATATTGTTGCCAACATCAAATCTCTACACATCAATGGCGATGTAACCCTCTTGATTGTGATGGTCGTCAAGCATGATGGTATCGCAAAGCCTGGAGTAGAAGTAGGATTGGAAAGGACGAGAACTTACAGGCGGTTCCCGCGGGACTGGCAGTCTCTGCCTTCTCGCAGAGCCCTCAAGCGTTGAACAACGGCGAGCTGTGACACTCACCTGGGCTGCTTCGAGAAGAGACGCGGGCGGACGCTCGGACCAGCTTAGCCGAAAATGTTGGTCAGTGCGTGCTTACAGTACTGTAGCCGAAAATGCAACCCAGCCCACCAGAAGACATGGCTGTCGAGAACCGCTGCCAGGGCAATCTTGTCGAGCATTTCGAACGTAGATCAGACGATCGAGCGGGCGTGTAAAGAGCTTTTCGATGGAATGTACTGATATCACGAGGCTCAAAGCCTCTGTTTGAAGAACCCTACTCTTTTGCATACTTACTCGTGACGGCTCTGATTTTTCCTTGGACTTACCAACATCGTTCCAGACTTCTCGCGCGGCACTGCATGGTGATGTGATGGACGATTGCCATTTCTCATTCGTTGCCGTTGGCGTCGTCTACTTAAAATCCTGACTGCCAAATGGCAGCTCGCAACCATAGCGTGGCTCTGCTCTTTGTGCCGCGCGATCATCTTGGACTCGATCTTGACTTGGACGCATGTAAAATTCCAACAGTCGCCAGTTGCAAAGTCCCAGTTGCAGCCCTTGTCCAAAAAGTGGCGGCCATGAACCTTTTTTCTCGACTAATCAACTCTTGGACAGGCAACAAAAGTACCGGAGAGTCTTACTATCACTTCGAGCTGGCAACGTCTGACCTCGACGACGATGAGCACGCCGAGTACAACCGGTCTGCTGCGTCCCTACCTACTGCGACCAAGACTCGGTTGCCGACCTCGAGAGTCATTATGCTCAGTCTCGCACTCGGTGGGCTGCAATTCTTCTGGTCCACAATCATGGCCAATTTGGTAGTCCGTACAGATCACACGCAACCGCGTCTTAACGAGTGAGACTGACCCTTCTCAGCCCTTCCTTCGAAGTCTCGGGCTTTCCAAACCTGTCGTTGCCGCGTCTATGATATCTCAGCCGCTTTCGGGCACGCTCGTCGGACCGTGGGTTGGTGCATTCAGCGACGGGCTGCAGACCAAGTGGGGACGAAGACGTCCTGTCATGGTCCTCGGCGCAGTCTCTACCACGGCTCTACTCATACTCCTCGCTTGGGTTGATGAGTGGGTCCATCTGCTGACTTGCCAACCGAATCAATGTGGCGAGTACGAGCAAAGTGTCCAGCATTTCGTCCAGGGCGTTGCCGTCACTCTTGTGGTTGGTCTCAGCATCGCTGTCCAACCTTTCCAAAGTGGTGCGCGAAGTATTATCATTGATAATCTTCCAGCAGGGCAGCAAAACGAGGCAAACGTGTCTTCGAGTCGCATAATTTGCATCGGAGGTATCGCCGGGTTCCTTGCCGGGACGATTGACATACCTTCAGTCTTCAACAATTCCTATCAGATCACCCAACTTCAGGGCCTGGCCGTCTTGAATGCGGTTGTGATCACGTCTTCCGTTGGGGCCACATGCCTCGTCTTCAAGGAGTCAAGTCAGTCGTGCTTTCGTGATGGCAGGGGTCCGAGACCACTGGCCAACATATGGCGCAGCGTTCATGGTCTCCCCGACGTCATTCGAAAGGTGTGCATGGTTCAGTTCTTTGCGTGGTCAGCCTGGTATTCGCTTCTGTACTACACCACCACATTCATTGCCGAGCTGGGTAAGACGACCAAGCGACAAACTTGAGACGCCTGAAGCTGACCTTGTCTCCCGCAGCCGCGGTCGTGGCCAGCAATGGCGGTACCCATGCTGTGCAATCTAAAGCCACGGATGGTAGAGCCCTACGAACCGGCGTCTTTGCAAGTCTTTGCTTCGCTCTCGTGGCTTTATCGGCCGCAATTGTGATCCCTATGATCTTGGCATGGGTAGAAAAGACTCATTTAGGCCGGACGGGCGAAGGGATGGAAAAGCAAACCTCCAATTACGCCGTCTTGGCGAGGCTGTGGATGGGATCACAAGCCTTGTGTGGCATTTTGATGCTCGCCTCGGTTGTAGTCGCCTCCCCACCCCAAGGTGTGTTGCTGATCGCCTTGCTGGGCGTTCCGTGGGCAGTCACTCAGTGGGTCCCCCTGGCCATCATTGGGTGCGAGGTGGCCGACGCACGTCACGAGGAAATGCACGCAGGCACAGTACTCGGCATACACAATGTGGCAATCTCGGCGCCTCAGATTCTTGCAGGGTTGATGGCCACGATTGTGTATGCGGCCGCCGATGCGGCTGGGAGTCGGGTGCCGACTGCGTGGGTGCTTGCATTCGGAGGCTGCGCTGCTGTCTATGCGTCCAGACTTGCTGTAGATCTGATATGACTGAGTCATCCAATTCTTTGATCATCACTTCGTTCAGCGTCATAGCGACTTTGTCTTTCTACCGGAAGCTATGGCGTATTGCTCCATCGAAGCAACTTTTGCCTGGGATCACATTTTGCAACTTTAGCCAGAGCATCATGTGACTAGTTCAGATACAATCGCCATTTCTTATAAGTGCTAGAGTGGGCAGACTATATATGTGTGACTTCAGGAGGAAAAGGACGATTCATTTGATTTGCCTCAATTCCTATAACGTTCACGGCCGCTAAATACTGATCGATAAAAAATCAAAAAAGCAGACCAAATCAAATTGAATCAAATTAAAAGCTTAGCTAGCACAGTTTTAGTTACTTGTGAGACACGTGATAGTGGAAGGGTTCGTTGCCATTAACTTCTATCGCAAGCCTGAGTCCTCTCATCTACGCTGACTTCAATCTTGTCCTGTTCACATTTCATCCCATATCTAAGCCGTCATCAATCACAGTGACATGAAGAGTTCCAACATCGCCAGGTAATTGGGAGTACCCAGCCCGGTGACAGGATCCCAACCCTTGCTGACTGTGAATCCGTCTGTGTCACAGCCTGGATTGCTTCCGACGGTAATGTCGTGCAGAACATATGGATGTTTGTAGAGGGTAGGGTTGACGAAGCCAACGGTAGACTTGCCAGCCTTCAGTCGCTCGTTATTGATCCTAGTAAGGATACTTGCAAAGACAGGAGCGGACGCAGATGAGCCACCTTGGCGTTTTGGTATGCCTTTACTGAAGAACAGGATGTTATCACCGACGGCAGAAACATCGGGATATCCTCGTCCGTTCCGGTTGTATAGACCGGCGGTGCTGCTTTTGTAGTCCCCGTCTATGTAATATGGATACGGAGTTCCAGCACTCTGTAGATAAGTGCTGACGGCAGAGGTTTGGTAGTCCGGCGGTGGATAGAAGACATTCGAGAATCCTCCTCCAGATGCAAATCGGGTGACGGCGGTCTCTTCGTCCGCCTTTGCATTGCCAGTTAACAAAGTAGCCCCGACTGAAGTTACATATGGACATGCGGACGGAAATTCAGGGCTAAAGACTGTGCCATTCTTGAGGCAGCCGTTTGCGTTACCGTCACCGGGATTACCTGCGACGCCACTGTCTCCAGAGGCCACGACAATGGAAATGCCTTGCAATCCTGTGTGGAAGTCAGCATAAGGGCCCGACAAGAGCTAGCAGGACCGATCTCACCAAGCTTCATGTACTCATTGCACTGGCGCTTCAGATAGTTCGGAGGCAAATTCGCTTCCTGAAACCCGTATGAGAGGGATATGACATTCGTAGGCTTGTAGACACCGCACTGAAGCTGACCTTTGTAACCACGGGGCGCTGGGTTGGGGTACTGAGGGTCAAGACCCGGAGAATTTCCAGTAATACCATCTGATGTATAGCTGCAGTAAGAACCGTCGATGGCATCTAGAAGGTTGTTGAAGAACCCCAGAAAGGTATAATTGGCCTCATAAACGGGATCATCGGTCTGAAACAGAACGCTATTTTGTGGCCAGATGATGGGATAGCTAATTTGGAAGTCCAAGTTACTCTCCGGGCCGGCGTCAGCTACAGTAGTTGGTGCAGTACCACCATCGACACTGTTGAGAATCGGATGAGTGCCCTGAGGGATACGCGGCTGCAAAGTCCGAAAGAACTCGTCCAAGTCTTCTTGAGAGTAAATATCGCCGATGTCTTCGAAGATGCCCAGTTCATTGTGAGGTACTGCGCTCGTACCTTGAGTGAAGTTGTACATTGCCCTGATGCATGCTGGCGTGATAGCAACGTCGCAATGAGCAAGAGGCATTGCGTCAGTGATACTATAGTTGAATTTAGGCCAATCTTGTAACCCGAGCGGAGGTTCGTTTTCGGCTCTGCCTCCCAAGGAACGTTTGACTTCAGATCTCTTTGGCATGTGTGTAGTGAGGAGCTTGATGCCCGGGGTGATGTAGTCGATGTGCTCGGCAACGTCCTCGTTAACGTGGTATCTAGGGCATGCATTAGTCCTGTTGCGAGTCTATCGAATCCTGCGAATGAGACTTACCCATCGCAACCAACCGCCATCTTACCTGTAGGTGCATGTTCGAAGTAGTAGTACTCGGTCTGTAGTAACTTTTCTGCCTCCGACGTGGTCAAATCGAGTTGGATCCTGTAAGAAAGGTTAGCCACGCATATCTCCGATTAATGTCTGACATCGTAGGTTTACCATTGCTTGTTCGTAGATTGGGAGACACGCCCGGCTTCTATACCAGACTTCTCAAGCCAACCCCGAATAGCATCAACAGAATGTTTTGGAGGTGCGAACAGGTCGTAGACATCTTCAGCAGAGTAGTATTTTCCGTAATTCTTGGAATCAGGATCCGAGATATCCATCAATAGATCGTGACCCATGTCCATGTTGTCGCCGAAAAGGCCAATCCTCATTGGCAACCGGACATGAGGGTGGAGAACATCGCGCTTGAACCAGTGCTCCGACTCTGTACGTTGCTGATGAAGAACGTGTCTAGTGGCAGCAACGGGCAAGGAGGCAAGAGCCGCAGCTGCGGCGAATAAAGCAAAGGGCATCTCCCTAGAGCATCAAGTGGACATTGATCTTACCCTCGAGAGATCAAGGCAAAATATAATTATCGCGAATGTCAATATATTGATGTTTATATAAAATATTGAGAGACGCGTAGTCTACTCAGGAGGCAATAGTAATCAGTGATGGATGAGTAAGATGAGATGTCAAGATAAGAATACCAATATATACTACCACAGCTCCGCGCGTTCCCATCCCCTCGAGGGTCTTGCGGATTCATCCCTCAGGATAATAGAATCAGAGGGTGCCGCAGAGATTGCAGGGTTCGTGGGCTACCCGCAGTTCCTGCTGTGCCTGAAGCTGTCTTGGATCAAGGCACCGCGCGGTACTCCAGAGACTCATCCATTGACCATCGAGCGCAGATTCTATATGGTCCACGATCATATGGTCCATTCTTTTGCTCATCGACCATTCCTCGGTGTGCCAAGAACATGAACATTTGGCTGGCTCATGGATTGCTGGGCTGCGCAGCACTACTACTCGTTTTCCCTTTGGGAATTGCATCGCTATGGTTCAAGAAAAGTCGCTGGTCGATTCCACACTGGAAGATACAAGCATGTGGTACGATGCTTCTGGCACTCACCACGGGCGTGGGTCTGCTCAATAGCAGTCGGTTGCACCACAAGCATCAGTCGCTAGGACTGGTCGTGTTCGGCATGGTCCTAATTCAGATGCCACTTGGATTCGTCGATGCGTTGGACAACACCCGCGGCTACAGGGCAAGCGCCTCATTCACCCACTCCATCCTCGGATTCTCGACTCTAGTGCTGGGCTGGCTGGTGATTCTGAGCGGCTTTCGTCTGGCATCGCTTGCGTCGGGCCCATTCGTCTTTGTCGGTTTGTTGTCGGCAACGGAAATCTCAGCTCTCATCACTGGCTCTTTCCTGGTACGATGGCGTAGACGAATCGTAGCAAAATCGGCACCTAAGGCGAGCGAAGTCGAAGAACTCGCTACGGACGTTTACACGCTTGCCGAGCATGACCTCCAAGACGAGTATGACCACGAGGACAACCAAGCCGCTGGGCCGTAACAGGACAAAACCCGCTAAGGGCAATTATCAGGCAGTATAGTGCGAGGTCTAGCTCGAACGTAGCGAGTTTGTTAGAATGTCGGTGTTCTAGACTGAGACAGGGTATGTCACATGATCAGTGCGGTAGGAAGAAAATGGACTTCATGAGGTCGCACACGCTGTGGATGGATGCGAGCTCCTTTGAGGACGACATTGAGACGTGCATGGGAGACTTTTGGGATTACAAGATTCCCGATGGCAGTCATCTGAAACCTCTTTGTGTCAAGATATGCTGGCCATGTCAAGCCCCGCTGACGGGTTTGCGGTTGCGTTGTTACCGTGTCTGTGCACCCAACGATCGGCGTCAACCAACGATCAGGGCACAACATTTGCAGTAGATTTCTACGCGTAATACCACAACAACCATGCCAGGAATTCAAGATGCGCCTGAGAAGACTCGCAAATTAAAGCCAGGCGATAAACTTGTCTATACAAAAATTGCAGAAAATCATTGTGTTGATCGCAACACGTTGTCGCGCGCGCACCGAGGTGTGCAGTTGCCTCACAGCCCTGCTCTGATAGCTGGGTCAAGCGCTTCCTGCACCGTCACCGCGATCGGCTTACCCTCCAATGGACCACCGGCATGGACTCTAATCGCCATAACGCTGAGTCACAATGCAAGTACCAGTTGTACTTCGAGGTTCTACAGCAGAAGATCACTCAATACGACATTGCGCCAGAGAACACATACAATATAGATGAGAAGGGCTTCGCGATTGGCACAGTTGTCAACAATCAAGTAGATCGGCATATTTGATTCCTATATAGGTTAGCACTTTCCCAATCAGGATCGAGTTATACCTAGATAGGAATCAAGTATGCCGATCTACTTGATTGTTGACAACTGTGGCGATTGGGGTGCTGGGTAGAACCAAACGTGTGTTCAGCAGGCGTCAATATAAGAAGAAGGAGGTCAAGCAGGCTCGTCAAGATGGCTCACGTAAGTGGGTGAGCCTGTTGGCCGCGATCTGCGCGGATGGTACTGCTCTTCCCCCTGGCATCATCTTCGCGTCAAAGAACTCCACTATCCAAAGCCGCTGGGTGGCGGATATCGAGGCGGGAAAGCACGCTATCCACGTCGCCTCATCGCCATCAGGATGGACGAACAATGATATAGGGTTGGCTTGGCTTGAGCAGGTGTTTGACCGATACACCAAGCCAAAGGCACGGCTAAGGTATCGGCTCTTGATTGTGGATGGCCATGGGAGTCATCTAACCCAGGAGTTTATCGAATACTGTCACCAGAAGCGGATTATATTGGCAGTATTGCCTCCTCACAGTACCCAGACTCTTCAGCCGTTGGATGTAGTCTGCTTCAAGCCTCTCTCATCTAACTACTCCTGTGAACTCGACAACCACCTCCAGGTATCTCAGGGCCTTTCTCCACTGTCCAAAGGTGACTTCTTTGCCCTGTTCTGGCCTGCCTGGGTATCCACGTTCACTGAAAACCTCATATCAAAGGCCTTCACAGCCACCGGCATATCCCCAGTGAATCCCGACGTCATACTCGATAGGTTCCGCCACATAAGCCCTGACAGCTTAGAATCAGTCTCCTCTGGCTCTACGGCTTATTCTGCAGAGGATTGGCTCAAAGCTTGCACCACACTTCAGGCAGAGGTGAAGGATTCGCGCAGTGTGGGAGCACGGAAGCTGGGTCAAACTATCCACCATCTCTCATCTCAAGTAGAATTACTCCAAGTTGAAGTAGATGGCTTACGCAAGAAGCTCTACCAAAACAGGAAGCGCCAGAGGCAACCCAATAGGCAATTAGACCTGCAGCAGCATCAGGAGTTTCACGGAGGTGCGATGATGTGGTCTCCTCGAGCCTTCCGGGAGGCGCGCGCGCGCATGGCTGTTGCAGAACAAGAGGCACAAGAAGAGGAGCTCAAAAAGGCAGAGACGAGAGAGTTAGCTGCTGCTAGTAAACTCTACAAGGAGAAGATTGCAGAAGAGAAGCGTGAGCAGCGGGCAAGAGAGAAGGCAGCGAGAGACCAGGCCAAGGCAGAGGAGCGAGCAGCCATCGATGCGCGCAAGGAGCAAAGACGCAAGGATAAGGAGGCTCGCGACGCTGCAAAAGCTCTCAAATTATCCTAAAGAGGTAATTGTCTAATCTCAAAAGCTTCTGCTGTCAAACAGAAGCCTGCGCGTCGTGCTGTGGGTGCGCGTAGTCACCCAAAGCCTGCGACGCCTCCTCTACCACGCCCAACTATCACGACACGCAGCGGCCGCACCGCCACTAAATATCCGTAACTTTGTATGAGAAACTTTGTCGCATAAATCTATAGATTAATTGTCGCAGTCTACGTACAGCTTGCTCGGTCCGATAAGTACTCGGTCCTATGTGAACAGAGTTTCACCATAACCCTGCTGACATCCGATCATTCCGGTATATCAACACGTAGACTTACTTCAATTCAACTTCAGTGTTCCTACCAATTTCTACTGCCTAATAGCCTATTACTTAAACCGTGATATTAATCTACTAAAATATCTCACGATATTAACTATTGTGTGTGGCTCTATAGCCTCACTTTTGTGGTGGCCGTACAGGCTCGGAGCGTGCATTGGTTGACTCAGTGCATTGGGTGCACGGACACGGTAGTGCCGAGATGCTGGCCAACCATGCCGTCTTGTCATAAAGACCAGTATACTTGAAAACACAGCCGGTATCCCTATGCCATCGGCCACTATGAGTGTCGCAATCGGCACTGGCCATCTGCAAAACCATCAAAGGTCGATTCGTGCGCAGGCCCGAGGCTATGTGCGCAATCGGAGGGCAGGGAGGCCGTAGCACATCTTGACTCAGCCGCGCGGTCTAGATTCACCCGAAGCACTTCACCTGGTGCAATAAGCAAGAGCTGAAGACCGAATTCCTCCAAAAAGACCTTCTAATTTAAAAGAAATAAAATAGTTGCCACGAGTCCCGTCTTGGTTGCATAACGCCCTACTACACTTCTAGTTATAGTAGACAAAGAGCCGTCGTTGTCTACAATGTTCCAATTCGACTCCACTCCAGCGCTCATAGTGGTCGACATGCAGAACGGCTTCTGCCACAAGGATGGCAGCTTCGCAAGACTAGGAATATGGACTGACCCAACAACGATTGTTCCTCGTATCAATGAGCTACTCTCCGAGTTTCGCGCTACTGGACTCCCTATCTACTTCCTGAAGACAGGATACAAGGCCGACTACTCGGATAGACGCGGTCGCGATAGACATGATCGACTCGAACAATTCCAAGGTCTTTTACGGGGGTCTTGGGATGCCGATATTCTAGACGAACTCACGCCTGAGCCCGACGACAATGTCATCAATAAGACAAGAAATTCTTGCTTTCTTCGCACGTCGCTGGAGAATACACTAAGAGAGCGAGGAGTCGACCATTTGATTTTGACTGGGGTGGGAACCGATGTATGTGTAGAGACGACGGCAAGAGATGCCTATCAATTGAACTTCGCCGTCACTACCATAAGTGATGCTACCGGGACATGCAATGAGTCGGACCATCTAGCCGCTCTGCACGCCCTGCGAAATTTTGGTGGCATAGCGTCGACATCGGAAGTGATTGAAGCCTTGGAGAAGCTACGAAACTCAGGAGCTTGGACCTTCGGTGCACGTGCTTGCGCGTTTGCCTAGTACTTAGCGTATAGGCCACACAGCTCAGTAGAGAACTCGACAGTGATTACACAGACTTTTCACCACTTTTCGATCACCCTACTTCGTGATCTCACACCATGGAAGAATGCCATAGACGTGAGATGATACCATATATATTCCAACGTCGAATTGCGCCATCAGGAAGTATTTCCATGGCTTAAGTTTGATCCTGTAGACTCCACTCACATGCGTCTTCTAGGAGCCCATGTCACCATCCAAATTTCTCCACCGCGACCTCTACTTTAATGCCCTTTCTGATCATCCTGGCGCACTCGTTCCTCACTGTCCTATTCAAACCATCCGGTCCACTTACGACAACACTAACAATATCATTCTGCTCCTTCAAATCTTCAACCTGCTCCCTCAGAATCGCCCGTATGTCCGGTCGTCCATGCCGACGAGTCGGTGGCGGTACGACGAGATGCAGGCCAAGCTCTCTCAGCTCATCAAGTTTTTCTTGTCCAAGCCAAGAAATGTGCGAGGTGTCTTGGACAATCCAGATCAGGCATATCTGTTGCTCTCGTGGATGCGGGATTGCATTCTGATCAGGTGTGGCATTGTGATGCAGCAAGGACCACAGCAAAGGGTACGCGACTGCGATCCCCGCGCCACCGGCTACGATGATGCACACATCGTTGTCACGGGCCATCTCCAGTGTGCGTAGAGAGCCATAGGGTCCATCGACACAGATCCTCGTCGACTGCGTTTTCTCTGCGTAGTGGAGAAGATCTCTTGAGAAGCCTCCCTTAGCACGAATGATAAGATTGAACCAGCCGCATGTCTGTCCTGGAGCTGGCGCGGCAGATGCAATTGTAAAAGGATGATATTGGAAGCGATATTTCCTGTCCATTTCAGGAATACTGATGAAAACATGTTGAGATGGTTTCCAGCCGTACTCCGTATTCCCGCCAAAGATCTTACGCCAGAAAGATGCGTCTCTGGATTTCATAGGCCAATCTGCAGAAACCAATACCGTCTGTCCGTCATCCGAGACTTGCAGTCGCGCCTGGGTCACATGGCGCTTAATGCACAATCTCCAGACAGATCTATCCAGTACAAAGATTGCGAGAGCAGCAAGGATGAATTGTCGTGAGGGGGGATTGTGCAGCCAAAGCATAATCAAGGCCCCGGCCTGCAACAGCACATGGAGCCCTAGAAAAGCCTCATACCACCATACCCTAAAACTTCGAAGAGCTGTCAAGTACAACGTCTGGTATGCAAGCCAAGTGCCAACACCCCAAAGGATGTATGGAATTAGCAAGTATCTGATGAGCCCTAGTCCTCTAGGACGATGGAACTCATACCAGCCCATGAGCATAGCTCCGATGTGGACCACTGCAAGAAAGCACATCCATTCTCCCAGCCGCCGGTGAAGGAGGTTCATGTTCTCGTGGGAGAATCCGAAAAGGAGCTTGAGGGGTTGGTTTTTGGCTGCGAAGAGGTATAGCCAGGGCAGGTTATTGATGAAAAGGAGGCCTGCGCGGTCGCCGATGAGGTCCCCGCTCGAAGGTGGCAAGCCGACCTTAAAGACGAGGTAAAAACCTTGTAACATGAAGAGAGCGAGGACGCAGAGGGTTGTGGAATTTTCGGAGAGGGCCCTGTGGACGATGGGCAAAGGTGCAGGTTGGTAGGTGAGGATGTATCTCGTCCAATTCGAAAGCATACTCATGCATGAGGTCTTCTTTGATGTGCGGTCTATAGCGTGCTCCTCGTCCTGAAGTCTAGTCCCCTCGTCAGACTCTTCCGCTATTGCATCTACCCGCGCACTGTTGCACGGAATTGACCTTGAACTTCTTTCATCCTCAAGAACGATGTGATACTTCTCACATCTGCTTATGGCTTCCGCGTCTTCTCTCTTCTCGCCTACTGTCGCCCTTGCCTTGCGTCTCGATCTCCCTCGTCTGCTATACCACTTTGCCACCGCAACAACGAGAAATATTGTAACGATCACGGGCTGATATGTGAGCAGTATCCAATGTTTCACCGTCCCAGGTGGTAGTCCGGGCATCGTGATCTGGTCGGATGGTGATGGGTGGTTTCCGTCTTGTGACGACGAGGCCACGGTGACAGAGTGGATAACTGATTGCTGGAGGAGATGAAGAAGGGGAGATACATCAATACCGTACCTTGTAGACCCCGACAAAGACCTATATGTGTAGGAAATACGAGACTCCATTCTTTCGCTGCACGCATGCTCCGAGTGAAACACGCCGAGCGGGTACCCCGTCAGGTTCTGCTGAGCCTCTGCTCGGCAATGCAGCAGCCGTGCGTTGCAAAAGATAGCGTGGTCGTGACCTCTCTGAGTCATAGCCAAGGGCGTTGAGCCGATCACAATCCTCGCGCTGCGGTAACCAAGCCTTGTTCCGTACCCGATTTGTTCGACATCTCAAAAGTACGCACTGAATGAATCCTGCGCCGACAGCATCGGAAATTGGTTCCAGTTCTCTTTCTGAATCATGCGCTGGTTCGTCACTCCAGCATATTACGACAAACTTGAGCAGAGCGAGACGATACTCGATGATACACCACCAAGAACTACAAACAGTACCGACAAGGCTCGGCGGGTTCGCTTCCTACTTTGGTCGACACTCACCAGCTTATCGATCTTACTGAATGTTCTTCTGCTTGGGTTTGTCTGGCTTTGGACGGATACATGCAACGTGCATACAGGTGGTTACCGCAATGTCTCGATGAATGCAAATTTCAAAGCAGCATCGGCATACTGTAGGATAAATCCGTAATCTGCCGACTTGCCTTCCATCGGCTAAACAGTTCCAGCTCCGATCTTTGATAAGGTCGACATGCAAGTGGGTCTCACGACTGTCAACGGCGCAATGCACGACAACACTTCCATCTGGCGAAAGCCACCATCACCCGAGGTCGATGCAGCGTGGGACAGCTTGACAAGGGGAGGCCTCGAAATTATCACTGTGTCGGCAGCCGATATCGAGCTCTCTGGCAAAGATCCGGCTCTCAGCGTCAAAGCGCCGCCTTCCTGGGATCAAGGACCAGATGCATATTTCGCTCAGATCGACATCTTCCACATCTTGCATTGTCTAGATGGAATCAGGAAAGAGATGTGGTCCGAGTATTACTATGACGATCCATCGGATGCCATCCGTCGCGAGCTCAAGGCACATTGCCTGCACGCAATCCTGCAGAATCTCCTGTGCACAGCTGACGTAGGCATAGTACAATACAACTGGATGCATGACGACAGATATCCAGAGTCAAGAACAATACCTGTCCCGGACTACAATCTGGTCAAGCAATGCCGCAATTTCGATGCGTTGCTCGAATGGACTATTGACCGAAGCGTGCCTGGTTGGCAGAGCAAATGGAGCGAGCTGCAAGTTCCCGAGGATGCTGTAGTGTTACCGGGCGACATCATCTTGTAGACAGCGAATGCTAGACGCTTGTTACGAGGAAGGTTGTAACATATACTGTGTAGGGGGTTGCAGCTGTAGCGCAATGAAAGACTTAGCGCTCGGTCAGAGACTCGGCTCGGTGTTTCCGTCCAAAGTCATCGTAGATACCTTAACGACGTTCGTAATTCTAGTGAGATGACTGTATTCAACGTCCGCGGCCTGTATCGAATGCTCATGCCATGCTCAGTTGAATAGCAGTCTATGCCGTGATTGCATTTATCGTGAAATTAGGGTCCTTTTTATATTAATTTAGGTTATAGGATGTCGTTGGTTTTATGGAAATCACGATAATAGTGGTAGGGCTCGAACTAGCGCTTCTTTTTTATTTACTCAGTCACGAGGTGTCGTAGGTTTTTCACACAAAACCGATATAGCTGCCCGCTCTGGCAACGAGCATTTGAATGCGCGAGCAACGATTATGCTGGTTGATACAGAACTATTGAAGTCGGAATGAAGCCTATGACGATTGGAATAGCCGCGGCGCTGGAGTATTTTGAATGGGTAGCTCAACATTTGCAGCTTGATTTACTCTCTAGTCTCCCTTAGGCGTAGTAAACAGAACTGTCTTAGCGTCTCCCGAAGCCCGGGTGCGTTTTGAAGAGCTCAATACGTTGGGCGCTGCAAGCGAATCTCGAGAGATCTTCCCCTGCGCATTTTTTATTAGAGTCCTTCTGATCATAGCCTTCCGCCAACCATTTGGCTTTATACAGTATCAAACGATGAACATAGACTATGAGAGGGTCGCGGAGAACGACTCGGATTCACACGATTACAGCAATAAATTTGAAGAAAATGAGGGCCATACGCCATTCGTCGGCAACCCTCGTTCTGGAAAATGGGGCCTACTATTGACGTTGCTCAACATCGTCCTGTTTACCATATCGGCAACAGTCTGGGGTATCGCCTTCACCGACCATCTTCCGACCAACAGTCAGGCTTTACAGAAGGTTCTCTATTACTGTTCGTGTCGTGACCTTACAGCGGTGATAAGAATGCAATTGCTAACGAGAACTTCCCCAGCTCCACTGCTTGACAAGATTGAGTTTCAATTCGAGAACAGAAAGGTCGAAGGAACGCTGTTCGACGAGGAGACCCTGTCGAAAGATGAGCTCCTATTGAGGTCTCACTCGAACGATGCTAGCGATGCGGCGTGGGCGGCCTTGTCCGTGATTGAGAGGATTCCCATGACAGCGGAGGAGGTTCGCAGACTGGGGAAAGACCCGGATACAGTTGTGAAGATACCACCAAGCTACGGTTCGTCTGATCTGCGATTTCTTGGGAAGGTAATAGCTGAGAAGTACCCAATCCACAGGCTTTGGTGACAGAACACATGCTGTGCAGCTTGACGCGCAACATAATCTGCATTGTTTGGACACGTAAGATGCGGCCGTCCCTCAAGATACGTCTGCTGATTCTGTGGAGCAGGGTCCGCAAGTATGCGTATCGAGAATACTATTTCCCAGAAGCGATAGATACAGGAAACGGCACCAGTCCTCTGACAGAGCTCGATCAGGCTCATCTATCACACTGCCTGTCAATGCTCCGGCAGGCGCTTACATGCAATCCTAGCCTCGATATCATCACTCATAATGTAAAAGCTCATACATGTCTCACACCGATATGACGTACCATGCTAATTGTTTGTCTAGTGGATGCGGACTCAGCTATATCCCCCTCCAGACTTCGCCGTCAACAGGAAGTGTATCAAGCATAGCCAAATTTTGGAATGGCAGGCGAGAAACAAGATTGAGAGGGAGAACTGGTGGGAGATAGGCGAACAGGGACCTGGCACGGATGACTATGTTTTAGAGCCACCTGCGAAGCTTCTGGACTGGACTATCAGACTCAATTCGTAGCACTGCGAGCACAATCACGACATCGGGGCAAGCTCAGGCAATGTTTATGAGAAGGCATAGCTAAGCGCAGTAGGCAACCTTTTCACTCCTGCATATAGACGGCATCGTCGACCAGCTGCGCTCGGTCTGGGTCTTGGAAGGCTATACAATCCAGAAACTTTCCTATTTCGAATTCTTGCAAATCATTGCAAATGCACAAGTCCTCGTGGCTTGACCGACCGCTCGTCTTGAGAACGAAAATGGTCACCAGCAAAAGTATCGTGCACTCTCTCCTCCAACTATGATCTGTGCGAATTCGCAAGACATTGTGAGACAGTCACATAGGTAGTGCGTACAGACTCATCGAATCGCACCATGCTATAAACAGCCAGCTCGATAGCGTCTGCTTGGGCGAAGTGTACATGGTAGACGGTGCCATCCAAGATGGAACGAATCATTTCGTCCAGTACCGCTCGTTCTGTATCGAAGTGCCCCATGTACACTGGACGTAGGAGTCCGCAGCCTCGGATCCAGATCGGAGACCTGAGCCCTCGCCGAGATCAACGTTCTCGGTTTTTTCGTAAAAAGTGACTCCACCCTGTAATCTAATAAACGTAAAGAAGACCCTCAGTTTAAGTTTATTGCCTACAATATATAGTTAGTAACGTGAGCGGCAAGCGAGCTGCGCACCCGTGCCAAGACTACGTCTCATCCACCTTCTATCCTCATGTCTCATGTCAAGATGGGCGATGAAGACAGTGATCATGTGACTGATGTTGCATGACTAATTAGCGTCAGTACTTAGTCTTAGGTCTCACTTTGACAATACGATAACTCTTACACCCCCAAAGTTTTGACATCTCAACAACCTGATCTTAAGCTGCTTCCTCGTGAAGACAGGATCATCCTTGCTATCCAGGCTATTGAATCCGATGCGTCATGAAGCCAGCGACGTGCTGCCGTCATCTACAATGTGTCTGAAAGCACCCTTCGGACGCGACGCGCCAAAACCACCTCACGACGTGATTCTCATCCTAACTAATCGAAGCTCCAAATGCACGAAGAGCAGATGATTGTACAGTACATAAGGAAGCTCGATGCACGAGGCTTTGCCCCTACGCTTAGCTATGTACGAGAAATGGCCAACCAGCTGCTAGCTGCTCGTGGTGGTGGCCAGTTGGAGAAAAATGGGCCAGGAACCTCGTACGCCGAAAGCCTGCGATTAAATCACAAATCACTAGGCAGGGCAATCATCAGAGAGTTCTATGCAGCAATTCAGCGATAATTAGTCCCTAGTTTAACCTTGTACGCAATGTCAAAGCCAAGTACGGTATTCAGGACGAAGACACCTACAACTTCAACAAGACTAGCTTTCAGATAGGCGTTAGAGGGTCTGTTAAGGTGGTGACAGCGTCTGAGAGGCGTACTAAGCCGCTTGGAGTTCAACCTGGCGACCGTGAGTGGATAACGCTTATTGCTGGCATTAACGCGATGGGGTGGTCAATTCCACCCTTCCTTATCCTCAAAGCAAAGCACCACGACCAGGCCTGGTATCACAACAACCCTAAGGATTGGAGGATAGGTGTCAGCGACAACGGTTGGACAACGAACGAGCTTGGTTTTGCCTGGTTGCAGCACTTTATCCAGCACACAGAGGCTCGCACAGTAGGTAGTCACCGCCTGCTTATTATCGATGGCCACGAGAGCCACCAGTCACTTGCCTTCCAAGATCTCTGCGAGCAAAGCAAGATTATTACCCTCTGTATGCCTCCACACTCGTCGCACATCCTACAGCCGCTTGATGTATGTTGTTTTGCCCCGCTAAAGCAGGCGTACAAGAAGGAACTTAGAAGCTTGGCAGATAGCCACATCCACCATATTGATAAAAAGGCCTTTCTAGCCTCCTTTGGGCTAGTATTTGACAAGGTGTTTTCAAAGGACAACATCTTATCAAGCTTTAGAGCAACTGGCTTAGTTCCACATAACCCAGATGTGGTGTTATCTAGGCTTGAAGTACAGCCTCGTACGCCAACGCCACCTGCACCAGGGCCTACCCCCTGGCAACCTAAAACACCAAGCAACGCCTGGGAGATAGAAGCTCAAACAACGCTTATTATGAAGAGAATAAGAGACCACAAGAGCTCATCACCTGACTCTATCATTGAGATGGTGCTGCAGGTCAAAAAGGGATCAAGGGTGAAGGTGCACTCACACACGCTGCTTGAGGCTAGAATAGCCAGCCTTGAGGAGGCAAACCAGGCAGCGTCTGAACGTAGAAAGCGCGAGAAAAAGCGGATCCAGAAGGGAGGAACCCTATCGCAGGCAGAGGCAGAGGATATAGCTGGGCAAAGGGATGTTGAGGCTCAGTTAGAGGCGGAGAGGCGTCAGGAGAGAGTGCGCACAGGTAGTAGTGCAGGGGGTATTCGACGCTGCAAGAACTGTGGCGAAGCAGGTCATAACAAGCGCACATGCAAGAGGGATGCAGCAGAAGTAGAGGACTAATTTAACGTACTGTGCACCATAGTACGATGTTATAGTAGTGAGTTGTTGATGTGTTGGGGTGGATGGCTGCATTTAGTGCGCAGCTCGCTTTCCGCTCACGTTATAGCTAAGAGCGACTTAAAATTTATTTAATACCTAGATAGCACCTACTAAACTAGTTATTTTATTATTTATAAAGTAACATACCTCACGGGCGAGTTGCCCGTGAGGTACGTTATTAAAAGTTAGGTAATTTTATCACGTTTTATTTAGGCTCCTTTTTTAAGTACGTCAGGTTATAGGGTAGCGTCACTTTTTACAAAATCACGATAACAATTTTCCAAGATCTATGGTCGTGGCATATTGCATAGTGATGCAGAGCAATCGATGTTGATGACAGTGTGTCCATCAACCAAGTAAGTTACTTGCTTGACACCAGGGCTCCAAGCAACTGTGGACCCTCTGGACCGACCGGTTCAACCGATTGCTTTAACGTAAGCAGATCGTCTTGGGGTGATTGGCCAGCGTCGCGCGTCAGTGCTTAAGGTTCCAACTAATTTGGTCTGGCGCACTGTACTGCTCTAGCGCCCTGGTGTCAAACAAGTAACTTACTTGGTTGATGGACACACTGGTTGATGATAGGTAGATGAAGCTCACTGTAGACTGATCCAATTATGGTTGAATCCTTTCTGGCTGGAGCCTACCAGGCTCCGTCTATACTTCAAGATCTGCTATATCGCCGCTACATCTCCAATTTCCGACACGAGTCAAGAGTGCTCTAAGGGTTGCTGGATGAAGTGAAGCTATCAGCTATGTTCTAGGCTTTTTGTATACAAAAGATTTCAGCCTTGAGAACACTACTGGTGATTACAGGAGATCTAAGCTGCCTGAACTTGTATAAGGCTATGTGTAGTGAAGCAAGACTGCAAAGAAGCAGGTCAGAGAAAGCGCGGAACAGAAATAGACCTTCGAAGTGCAGCTAGCATTGCTTGTATTCTAAAAGAGTGTGTTCTAAAAGAGTGAAAGATCTTGCGGTCGAGAAGAGGCCGTACAGAATAATTCCATCACCAGTGCTCAATTAGCACTCAGTTCACGGTGATGACTGCTCGACTAATTGCTCGGTGTTAGCTATTGCGCGCAGTCACGTCTATGGCTCCGGGATATTTACGATCTCTAACCCAGGAGCCCACCCTCGTGGTTGTAGAGCAAAGTTGGGGGCTTTCTAGTATGTTTCAGTACAGAGACGATACAAGAACAGAACTTCATTCTTACGCTCCATCCACAGCGTCCACGTTACGACCCAAAAGACCACCCTCGTGGTTGTAAAGGAGAGTTGGCGGCTTGCTACTCCTTTTTAGCATGTAGTCGCCTCGAGAACTGAACTGAGTCCTTACGCTTCATCGACGGTTTTTACATCACCTGTCGAAGTTAGCTATTGCCTCAAATGCTGGACTGTAATACTAGACTTACGACCTAAAAGACCTCCCTCGTGATTGTAAAGCAGAGTTGGTGGTTTGCTGTCATTTCTTAGTACCTTGTCGCAAGGACTGGCGCTTTTCCTTACGCTTCATCGACGGTTTTTACATCGCCTATGAATGTCAGCTACTGCCTTGACGACCATTCGTAAAGACTCACGACCAAGAAGGCCACCCTCGTGGTTGTAGAGCAGGGTTGGTGGCTGAGCGTTCTCAACGGCAGTGATGGGAGCAGCCGATGCGACCGCAACCAACGCAGCAAAGAGAGCCACGATCTTCGATTGAGGAACCATGTCGTTTCTCGAGGGTTCGTATTGATTGATCTGTTGTGTTCAAGAACGTGCTACGAGGAGTGGTAAACTGCGAGGTAGCCCTGGCCGTGGACTCAGCTTATATATCGCTGCAATGCTCTTTTGCTCACAACCTTGCTCGTGAACGATGAGAGCAACTTCAGAAGCTTGTTGATTGTCTTCCCTTCCCGCCTTCGAGTGGATCGGCGTCATTTCATCGACCACCATCGCCATCGCACCATCGCATAGCCTGTCACGCGGTAGGAATGATCTGGCAGCTAGATGCTGATCCGCAGAGAGAATGAGCGACCACAGGGGATACTCTAGATCGGCGCTATGCAAAGTCAGTCGCTCCTCGAGACGCCATCTACCTTAGGCGCACTATGGTGTGGTCTCCGTCTCCCGGTAGCTCCGGCAACCTCCTCTTTCCCGTGATCCCACGTCAAAACCTCTTCTTACTAGTAGCATTCGCTACTTTCTCTCGCAACCCACAAGCACGAAGACCCGTCGTCAATCGTCGATACCTATACTGGCATCTGGATATCTACACGGCGAGATGTACCCAAAGATCAAGTACGGAGGAGTCCCAAATGACCTTTCCGACGACTCTGATGAGCCGACGCCTCGTTTCCTTCGCGCTCCCGGCAAACGTCCAGCACGCACATACACCCTCATTTTTGCACTCATCTGTTCTCTCGTGACTTCCAATGCCCTTACTTGGTTCTGCACTGCGAAGTTATGGAGATCCAATGATGTCCAGAGAGCCACTGATGCTTGGGAGATGGTCCATGTCGAAGATGGCTTGGGACTGCCTACTTCGCGTTCGACATATGGTATGCTTGTACCCATCACGGGTGGTCAAATCATGCTAAATTCCGTTCTAGCTGGTCTCGTCTACGACACCGCGGCTCTCTTAGAATCCCACACTCCATACACCGATCACAATGATACTTTGCGTGACCAGATGTGGCTCGATATGGATTTAGACGCCGGGATGGTAGCCCTGGGTGATGCTGATACGGCACGCTGGGGCTTGCCAGAGGGGCAAAGGTTCCCCTGGGACGACTCCAAGAGCATCTACCTCTTACAAGCCCACCACAGTCTACACTGCGCGGTCAGTGCTGCAACCTTCAGCCATCGCATCGCTCGCTGACAATAGCAACAGCGCTCCATCTACATTTCTCTCATGGAATATCGTAAAGGACTTCGACAGAGCCGAAGACATTCGCATATCATTCATTGTCTCGATACACTACGTTCCGACACACTTTGTTATGCAGACGATACTCCGAGAAGGACGAGCGGCGATATTCATCACGAGGGAGAGACTGGCTATGCGCAATACCGCAAATGTCGCAACTTTGACAAGCTGGATAACTGGGCCAAGCAACACACGGCCTGCTTCCGCTACGACCACGAGGCCGAAGGTAACGCCTATCCGGAGATCCAGAGGTTCGTATGGTGCCCTGAGGGAAGCCCATATCGGAAGGAAGTTGACAAATACTTCGTGGTCGACTACGATACCCCAAGGGGTAATGGTATCATTTGAGATAGGCAGTGGCTCAGAGAAGTCAGGAGCTTTGAGGTGTTGACATGTGGTGATCATATGAAAACATGTAGTTTGGTGCTGAGGAGGAGGAACCGTGGTTCACGATAGGAAACAGTCCTGGATTTCGACCTTGGATGTGATGCTGGATGTAAAGACAGTTAGCAAAGGAGAGTAGAGTTATAGAATGTTAGTGACGATCTCCTTACGTGATATCGGTTTTGTGCGAAAAACCTACGACACCCCGTGACCTAAATTAATACAAAAAGGACCCTAAAAGACCCTAAATTCAGCGTAAGAAAATTATGTAATACCTAATATATAGTAATAAATTATTACGATATTATATTATACTAGTAATAACCCTAAGTTTAGGGTTGTCTAGGGTCCTTTTTGCATCAATTCAGGTCACGGGATGTCGTAGGTTTTTCGCAAAGCACGATAATTTCAACGTGTAAGCATAGGGTGGTAGTAGTATAAGGTCACATGAATGAGTGTATCCTTCTGTGTATGTACAAATGTGTGATCTGAGCTCTTAAGTAGTCGGACGCATTAGTCATGCCTGCAGAGCAGTCATGTGATGCGGTCCTAGGCTTACACAATGAGATAGCACTGTAAGCAGCACGACTTTCCTTCGTAACATAAAGAGCCTACAAAGCGACTATAGAGCACCTTTACAAAACATCATACGGTCTAATGTTAGATTGTATTCGAGTGCAAAGAGCTACAGCGCATAGCCATAACAGGCTGAAGTAAGTAAGAAAGTAATAGGGCTTAGTTGAATCAAAAGAGCACAAAGAATGTTAACCAACCATGTTTGTTCATCCATCCGTCAATTTTCCCACTTCATATAGCATCTCTCCTATTTGCGATGTACTCATTAACCTTATCCTGGTAAGGTGAGTCTATCGGACAGTGCAGCCACTCTTCGATGTTGCTTTGACGGGCTTTAGCAGCTCCTAGGTCCTTGAAGCATGCACTGTTCTCCCTAGCTATTCTTTCAACTCGAGACCAGTCGCGGCACACCCTAATATGCAAAGTCAGTACCCGTTGGTATACATGCGATGAAGGATTCGAGGACAGGATCCTCGCAAACATACTGTTGCTACGTTAGTACAAATCTTTACAGTGTGACAAGGACTAGAGAGAGCTGCGTACCCGCACCTGTCCGGCTTCAGCTACGGCAGTGTCGTTTAGTAGCATTACACTGTTGACAGATCGAGGCGTTGTATCAACTGTACAAAGCGCGTCTTCCCAGAGCACGACAAGTGAATGGAGAGCGTGCCCATTAATGGCCTCATCGCCGGCAAGCTCGCGTAGCATTCGGTAAATAACTTGCTAGACAGTGTTAGTAAGTGCTTTCACAATTTTATATCTAGAGCTGCTCAAGCGCATACTACACTATGCAAGCTATGATACCCGTGGTAAGCATATACTTCCTTTGACGTGTCCCACGGAAATGGTTGCGAAGGGAGTAGTCCTTCGCGCGGGAGTGCTGCAATCGAGTTGCCCGGGTCGTACGCATCTATCACATTCTCCACAGTCTGAAGAACAAGAGCGTCGTCGTAGAGCGTCGGGGGATACAGTGATTTCTCAATAGTGTTGATTGACTCGCGATAAACAGAACCGTCGTGACTGTTGTATGCAGAAGCTTCGATTATCAGTTTGGGGTACTTCGAAACTTGATCTGACAGGCCCACTGACCTAGATGTTGCTTGACCCAAGGACTGCTCAGACCGATCAAAAGCGCTTGTAGAACATTCACCACGCTCGAAGAAAGAACAAGGTAGATGAGCACGTTGGATTGGCATAGCTTTCGGAGCCAAGGATGACGAGGTTTTTCGTCGTTGCGGCTATGGCCTCGACCGCGTTGGAACAACATGTCTTTGCTCTCTTGAAGTGCTGAGAGAGAGTCTTCTCTTCGTGAAAGTGAACTAAAGGGTGACGTTCGTTTACATGACTGAAAATGGGAAAGACATGTACTGCGGTTGCAAGAGGCGGGTCTGCGGGATCCCAGACTCAGCGAACTGGCCCGAAGGTAGCGCTCGAAGTATTTCCACAAAAGTGTCGCTTTCTCTGGCTCTGCACAGCCCGAGGCGCTGCCACATGGCACTCGGCGTCCCGCACGAGCGTGCATCTGCTGTACCTCGGCTTTAGAACGATTAGCTTTGCATGAGCACGGAGGTGGCTTGCGAGTTTCGTGCGAGCAAGACCAGCGCTCGGCAGTACTACATAGCGGCCGCCTGATCAACGAAAAGTGTCGTACACGAGCGCTGTAGCGGCTGGTTGTAACGGCCGTGGGATGGCCGGGGTCGCTCTTAACCTAGAGCGTTGATAAGAGAGAAAACATGGAGTGTCTTACTCCCTGTAATCCTCTCATCGCATTTTGTCGATATCGGATACACTTCTAACGAGATGAACAACCACAGTACCAAGCCATCGCTGGAGTTGAGCGATGGTGAATATCGTGACGACGAAGGCCTGCTTATGGCCAGCAAGGGAGACGAAGGTTGGGATGAAGGCCAAAAGACGCCTCTTGCTTCTCGCCAGCGCAATGCATTTGCATTGTGGACGATTCTCCTCTCGTCTCTGGCCGTGAATTTTTCACAGACATGGTGGCTTGCTGGTGATGCTATTCGTCACTCGCGTAAGGCATTTGGGATATGCTGCATTTCTTGGAGCATCGGAATAACATTGAACAGTGGCTTCACATTCTTCGGCTGGGCAATCTGCGACATCCGTCTGGGGCGAGTCTTTTGACATTGTCTACCGGCCACTCTATCCAAAGGAGCAATACGCTTATACAAATCTGGGTTCGCAAGTCGCCGACGAGATGTTTAGGTCATTCGACCCCGACAAGGGCGTGGTAGCGTTACCTAAAGGGGCACCACACGTCCTGCCTTCCAAAGAATTTCCATGGGATAAGACAAAGGAGGTCTTCGTTCTCTCTGGCTACCACAGCCTGCATAGTGTGGTGTGTATTGTCAACACCCCTTACCATGAAGTGACGCTAATGCCTATGGAATGCTTAGAAAGTACTGTGGAGCGAGCTTCGCAAGCTGAGTAGCGACAAACCACTGACTGCCCACGTCCTACACTCGCTGCACGTACTGTGGCAAGACACTCTCTGCGCAGCACGTGCAGACCCGATGACGATCTCAGGGATCGTGACCGATCGGGTCCTCGTGGACAAATTCAATCAAACACGCTTCTGTCGAGATTGGAGGGAGCTCGAGCAACTCCGGAAGGACAACACGGCTTGTTATAGAAAGCTCGTAGGGTCGAGCGGGTCGAGCGAGAAGGAGAAAGACCCGTGGGCAGAGTGGCAGTTCTGTCCGGAAGGCTCGCCTTATCAATCAGCTGTGGACAGATATCGAGAGCAGCAGTCGAGATAGAATGCACACGCGATGAACCGTTTGTGAATGATATAGTTCAGCTTAGTGTCACAACATAACAACCAGCACGGACCATGATCTCGCATTGTCCTGGTCCGTGCGCTGTGCAAGCCTGAGGCATTGTATGTGGACGAGCAAGCAGTAGTGACAGCCAAACAGACAAACTGTAGCTGAGCACATAGTTGAGCAGCAGACAAGGTCACTCGATTAATATACCCCGGACGTTCGCTGTGACGGCTGAACACCTGCAAAGTCGACTAAGCCCAGCCCTACGTCTCCTGGAGGCACCTCAACTCCCTTGCAGCATGAGCTTTACACTCAGGCGTGCAACGCCGGCCATTGGCTCTACACTGACACAGTTTCCCGCATCGCGAGATGCATTTGCAAGGTAGAGCTTGTATCTCACAGCTCCGCTTCTCATATTCCGACAGAAACTCCCGTTCAAACTGAGGCCCACGAGTGAAGCGCGAAGTATTTGACACCACTGCTCGATCAAGCTGTTTGACCAGTGCCTGAATATGATTCGGCCAGGGCTTATTCGTAGACTGCTGGTTCTTAGCCATCCAAAGCATGTTCTCGAGAATCTTGTTGACACTCAGCTCATCCCACAACATGCCGCCCTCCATCAAACTGGTCTCGAGCGTTAGGACGGCATGAATGATCATGGACCCAGCAGGCATGAGCAATGTTTCATCTGGTTCGATCATCAGGGTTCTGGCCTTCCCTCGAGGGTTATAGTTATCGCCGTATCGAGCCAACCTTCTCAGATCGTCTTCGCTGAGATGCTGTGGTGGGACGAACATCCACGCCTTACGGCCGCAGAAGCTCCTGACCCACGTGCCGTTCAAAGCATCCAGATGTGCGCCAGAGAAAGCCCCACGGAGACCGAGTATGTTGAAGCAGATGCACCAAAATATATCCAGCTCTTTGGTGGTGACCTGCTTTCTTGCGTCATCCCAAGCTTCGCTATGCACCAGATCTTCCAGCAGGCGGTAGCGTGGGAGAAGAGTAAAGAAAGGCTTATCACCTCGAACTATTCCGGGAAGATTCAGAGCATTCAAAGCAGCATCGGACGAGGCCAATGTCTCTACAAAATCCTCGCCGTCGATGTCTTCGAGCAAGTGTGTGTATGGATTCCTGACCTGTAGAATATGGCCCGCGAGCTTGCGTCCGAGGGTCGCCTTGCAGTGCTCCCACGTCATCCAATTAGCGTCTCGTACAGCGTTCTTCATCAAGATGGGTCTGTCGAAGACGACCCCAGCATCCGTGTAGCTTTGAAAGGTGTCCGTTGTCAAGCACCACACGTCTGCGTCCTCTTTGGAAGCAGTTGAGAGTGAGCTATCATCTGGGTCAAAGAACATCGTGGCCAGGCGGGTTGGTGTAGCCCAAGCTCTCAATGTGTTCGACTTGGCGTCGATCTTGCGGCGTTGAGCAACAAGATCAGAGATTTCGTGTATTTGCTTGAATCCTTTCATACGCTGCTGTTGTGCCAAAGCTTGATCTTCTCCAATTGTCCAGACGGACTGCGGCACATAGCCTGCTTTGCACTGGCCTTCACAGAGTGGGCAGTCTGACGAGTGCAGCTCGCCATTACTGTCGGACATGTCCATCCCGTCATCATCATCATGTACGACCGGCGTTTCGACTTGTCCTTCTAAGGCGTCGCTTTCGTCATCTGACTGAGTGTCAGGCGGTGGGGACATGTCGGTCTGCTCTGTTCCCGCACCCTGCGGCGCCGCACTCAGCCCGCTCTCACTGTGCATGCCAGCATCTTCCGTGTCAGCATCACTCAATGCGCTGTTCTTCAGGGACGGCTGCGAAATTGCCGCGGCCTGTTTGTCGACTTCTTCCTGATCAGATGCATCGGTGTCAGGCGATTCACTAGATCCGCTATCACTCGCTGAGTCAGAACCTTCGCTGTTTGAATCATCGGGGCCTTCAAGGTCATTCGCCTCAGTCTCTGAAGTGATACCGGATTCCGGTGAGACCATAGGCGGCATCGTTTTGGGACGTTTATTGGCGTCGTTCAACAAGTCATTCTCGCACGATCCTGTGGTAGAAGCCTTAGATGTCCCCGCAACATCGCCGACACGGCCCATTTGTATGTCGCTCTGTCCAGACCACTGATCGGTCTCGGACGTTGGAATTCTAACGTCATCTGATCTTGGTCGTTTGGTGGATTTGCGGATACCCGAGGGATATCTTTGCGGCGGTCGACGCAATGTATCTTCACGCACGATGAGACCAGCCGTGTCGCAGGCGATCATGCATTTGCTCCAAAGACTCTGTGGCCGCGCCGAGAGACTCGACCCGTCTCGAAATTGGATCGTCTCTTCCGTTGCCGTGGTCCAAAGCGTGACGGACTCTTCGGCCTCCTCCAAGCTCTGTAGAGTGATACCACCATGCTCCAGGACGCCCTTTTCTGCCCAATCTATTACATTCTTCAGATCCGCAGCTGTGATCGGGGAGTAACGTAGCCCTGGCAATCCTTGGTCCACTTCATTTCCAATAGTTTGCCAGGTGCGCGTACTCGCTGAAAGCCTTCCTGAGAGGACTAGCTCATGCCGAAGCACAAGGACCGCGTTGAGATATCTAACAGCCGTTGCCCAGTCTGCATACAACTCGGCGACGGCCCAAAGTCGTTCGAGAAAGCTGCGTGCCCGGGATGTCCAGGCGTATCGCTCCAAGACTCCTGCACCCCAGTGAGCTCCGACTTGGGCGATGAGTCGAAGGCATGCAGCGGACTCGGTACCACTTTTGCTAGCGGGATCGCTATCACGCAAGGCTGCGAGCGCCGTGTAGGCAGGCGATTGCTCTGGAGGACGCAGACGTGTGCTCAAAAGAGCCGCTGCACACCCTGCTAGATTTGTATGATCCGCTGCAAGCTCGTCCGCGATCGCTCGGTGGATCGTGTCGCGTTGATCACGGTCGCTGGCACCGTCCAGGCGTTGGCGATATTGGTCCAGGCGATGAACCGCTGTGATACGCCTCGCTTCTTCTCGCTCGTTGCACACCAGATGTTGATTGTCCTGTGGCGAGGCCATTTTCAGAGACAACTCGAACGCAACTCGAGGATGAATTGCAGTTAACGTGGCCAGAGCATCGAAATTTCCAAGCGCGCGGCAATGAATCAGGGCCGCTGGCACTCGAGTACATGCTGTTCGCGTTCCTGTAGGCTACGGAAGTCCGATATATGCAGGTTACGCAGCCTAAGCTTCCAGCGCGGAAGTAAGACTTTAGCCGCGCAACTGTGTAGTACGGGTGACCAAGACATCCAAAGTACTTATAACTCAAAATACTAAAACCTAATATTAGGAATACTAAATCTAAAACCCTATACTATATTTGTCAGGACCTAGGGTCTGACGGTTCGTTCCGGCTTACGCCAAGCCGCTTAGAGGTATATAGACCTCCCAACCGCTACCTCACATCAGTAGCGGTTCGTCTCTAGCCTACGAAGGCAATATACTCTTACCTCAGTTATTCATGTGCATCCAGTGTCTCATCTAACGATACGGCCTGACATAATCATCCTATCTCAGGTCAACGGATAACATATCGTATTATCTGACAAAAAGCTAATTAAATACTGCCCTTACAGTTAAGGGGTAAGGGTGTAGAGATCAGGAATAAAATCTCTTATTCTGTTCTGGGGCCAAGCATTCCGGGAATACGATAGAGGGGTGCGGCGTTGTGTTGTATCCGCGCCTACGCCATGTACGAAGGTTGTGAGGGTAAGTTTTGTCGCCAGGGAAAGCACGGAATCGTTTTTAAAGGCTCTGATTGGCTGGAGTGTCTGTTTTGTCTCTTCATTAGTCTGGATTACTTTTCAGAATGCGGTTGAGCCGTAGGAAGAGCCCCCGGGCGACAAAACTTACCTACTCAACCAAGTATAATCATCTAGTAAGCGCTTATGCGGGACGGGTGCGCGGATACAACGGACGTGCATGGTGCAGCGGCGAGTTGCCTGCAGTTGACTCTCAAGTGTCCAACTGATCACACTTCCTCGCTGAGCTGGCTTCCGATAAGAAGCAATGAGGTTTATCAAGGCAGATGAGAGTTGATAGATAATACTAATGTCTCACTTGTCTTGTTAACCTTCTTTACGTACTAAATACTTGAGAGAAATGCTGGGGTACCAGCTTCACAATCCATGGAAATTCGATTCTGAACCATGGATCGCTGCCTCGCCACCGCGCAAATACATTGCCTTCTGATTATAAATTTCTGCAGTATGCGATCCACACTACAATCCTATCTACTTTTGGAATTCATACCACTCGTACGATGTCTCGTCGCCACCAGCCAGTACTCCTACAGCCGTGGGATCCCGTATGATACATATGTGGGCCTACTTTATACCTAATTAGGATCAGTACGCTTACGGTGGGGTGATACTGGCAGTAATTGCGCTCATATCTTGTTTGCCATACACCTTCCTTATTGAGCTAGAGCCCAACACTGCGTCAAATCATCCAGTAAGTCATGCTATAGCTTTGAGAGGTGTTGGCGCTCTCACACAAAACGTCACACCACGTACCTGCTTGTAGGAGCTTTCTTAACGCCTTCGAAGTGCGTCTGAGGAGGCGGCGGTGTTGGGCTACAGATCAAGACCGAAGATAATGCGGCCACTTCAGCTGTACATTGGAACACCTGCGGGCCAACAGATTGAGAGACAAGCATTCAGACCCACCGCAGCAGTGCTACAATAGGCTTAGTCGTAAACCATACTAAGTGGGACTGCATCTTCGTACCTCCTAGGTCAGACGCTCCGCCAAGGCGCGCTAGCCCCAACAAACTCTAGCAAACTCTAGCAAACTCCAGGATCTATATCAGTACAGTCGCTAGCGATTACGGCTTCACCCTTACAGGCGGGCCGATGTGCCAGCAAGGGTCCAGCCCACTTTTTGTTGATAGCTGACCAGCCAAACTGTTTGTTTAACGTTCTACGGTCAGCGCTAACCTATTTACGGAAGGTGAGGCTAAACAGCACATGTTGCAGCCCCTAAGCACCAGCCAAGGGGAAAACAAGCGGATCCAAGGAAGCTTATCAGCACCAAGCAAGGCCGTGGCCGCGTCGATCGTGCTTCTTTGGCCGGTGTGGTAGGGTGAAGCCGCAATGCCTGCAGCAATTTACGTGCAACAGTGAGGGAAGAGGAGAGCATGATGCAGGAATAGAACCATGTAGCCGTGCCTCAACCACACAGAAATCCTGTATCTCGCCTCACCTGTACAGGCAGCAATATCAATACATGTTGCAGCCGGTGTGGTGGGGTGAAGCCGCAATGCCTGCAGCAATTTACGTGCAGCAGTGAGGGGAGAGGAGAGCATGATGCAGGAATAGAACCATGTAACCGTGCCTCAACCACACAGAAATCCTGTATCTCGCTTCACCTGTACAGGCAGCAATATCAATACATGTTGCAGCCGGTGTGATGGGGTGAAGTCGCAATCGCTAGCGACTGTAGAACCTCCGCCCTAAACTAGATTCGATTCTTACAGCGTTAACACTAAAGAAATCGAAAAACTGCGATCCTTCGTCGACGGACTTCAGCTCCTAGCACACACGTCGGTTAGAGCAGACAAGTTTGGCCACACGAATGAGCGGGGAGACCTTGATCCTTCAGTTGCGGTCGATAGCGTGACGTAGGGAAGATAAAGCATCATGAAGGAGGCCTCGCTTGTGGGCAGCTGACCAAGCATTTGAATCAGAATTGTCCACAGAAACAAGCGAGAGATCTTAACTGTTCAACTGATTTAGCGGAGTGGAGGTAGGAAGTCATGAACAGCACCTTTGTGACGGCTACATGCTGACCTGGCAAAGCTGGCATCCCACATTCGTTACAAAGATGGCAAACAACATGGTGCACGATACTCTTAACCTTGACCAATCTAAAGGTCGAAGCTCAACGGGTTGTTGGACTTGTCGCATCCGCCGCAAAAAGTGCGACGAGACAGCTGGAAACTGCTCGGTCTGCACCTCCCTTCGACTAAAATGCGATGGCTATGGGCCAAAACCCGTGTGGTTAGACGGGGGTATCCGGGAAAAGCAGAAGGCAGAAGAGCTGAAACGAAGAATCAGACGCCATCGAAAACGAGGTCAGATCGTGTCAACCCGACTCTCTGAATCACGGCGCCAGACACAGCGCCAGCACATGGAGCCGCGACGCGATAATGGCATTTCACAGCGAGCGTTGAGCGGGAAGCTGTCTACTAATACCGGGCACACATCATCTCAATTGGTAGGCACTGGTGAGACCCTGCCATGGGCAGCAGACTCAAGAGGAGGATTCGATCAAGTTAGCCACAATGCGGATGAGGTATCCCTGGACGATTCTTTCAAGGCCATGGTGGGTTTTGTTCAACAGCCTAGAGTCCACACAGGGGCGGGAAGTGCCTACCCTGCGCCGGCAGAGAATATATTTGAGCTTCAGTGGCCAGGTACCCTCAGTCCTGTGGCCCGAGATCTGGGTCATGCCTCTCAAAATCTTGTATGGGCCGATCTAGGAGATAGTCTGTCACCGACCGACAGACTAGGCAAGGGTCTGGCAGAAGTACAGAGTCACCAGGACTACTCAAGCAATGCTGTGCTCACGGATGTTCAGGGTACCTTTGGCCGGTCTGACGAAGTCTTTGAGAGTGACCTGGAGCAGTTCAAGAAGACTGGGACTGACCACGGTGAGAACGATATTTTCGAGGCATTAACTTTTTCGCCGTTGCCGTGGGAGCACGTGGAGACCATTCTCGACACTACTTTAGAGTACAACGGATCGACTGTCGATTTGAATCCCATTACTTTGGACAAGCACTGCCAAGAAGATGGTTCACAAAGCTGTGCAGAAATAGCTCAGGCGGCCATCCAATCAACTTCGGCTGTCAAATTCTTCGTGCAAACCATACTTCCGAACCAATTCCCGTACGCTGAAGGCACAGTTCGGTCACGCTTGCGAGACGCCATTCTTTGTCCCCAAGAACTGGTCAGACAATTCATACACTCAATTGTTGAAACGACTGTACATTCCGTACAAGCTCATGCCTTGGAGAGATACGGCTTGGACACATCGTCAAAGCACCGTGTGTTGTCGCCTGTTGCGAGCCTGACGATGATCGACAACATCTTTGCCTCTGATCTGCAAAGCAGCGACAGCGTAGTTCAAACGCAGTGTTTGGAGGAAGCCATAGTGCCGCTGATACAACAGACGTTGTTGCAGGTAAGAGATATCCATGTTCGTGCATGCCAATCTGACATGGAACACCAAGATCGATGGCTCTCAAAAAGGCAGTGATGTACTGGGTGGTATTGCTAAATTTGCTGTCAAAACCCGCGTCCTGTTCGACCCAGGGAGCATCCTGCTGTCATTGTCTTATGGATTATTGGCCGCACTGGACCTCATCAGCACTGCGACCTTCAACAAGCCGCTCAACACTTGGCCATTGCCCCATAGTGTCGCCCTCGCAAATGCCTACCTCGTACACATGACAGGCTGCCAACCGTGGGTGTTTCAAAGAATCCTTGATATCATCAACCTCAGGGCCTGGAAGCTCAATGTAACGAAACGTGGAGCCCTGAACGTAGTGGAACTAGCACAGAAAGCCTCAAAGATACAAATCGACATTCAACATCATCGGGTTGACCTCGAGACGGGCCGGGAACACCCCCATCAAACCCCAACCGACCAAGGCACCAGTATTACAACCAGTCGCATGGTCGGCAACCTAGAAGAGGGATCGTACAAACAGTGGCCGATGGATTTCAGCCAGGACACCCAGCAGATAACCGAAGTATATGCTCATGCTGCTGAGATTTTCCTTCACACTACAACCTCGGGCGCATACCCTGATGTGTCTAGCATTCGCGACGCTGTTTCGAAGACGGTATCCGCCATACAACGCCTAGGCCATCCGCACTTACTGAAGAGCATGTCCTGGCCAATCTGTGTCGCCGCCTCCATGGCAGGTCCAGAGCACGACTTGTTCTTCTCTTCAATTGAAGAGGGAGCTAGAGGTGATGGCGACTACAGCTTCAAGCTTACTCGTGCTCTGGCTATCGCGAAAGAATGCCAACGGCTTCGGAAGACGAACACACCAGCCATAAGCGCTCAAGACCGCCGTGTCTACGATTGGTTCGATGCTACGAGAAGTCTCGGTCAGGAGTGGTACTTGCTTTGACCTCCGGGGCGTCCCTATCATTAATGGGCGACGGGATTAATGGCTATAGCCCTTAATCCCCCAAGAAACCCTGAATGAGCGACCCTTAATCCCCTGACCGTTATGCCCAAATCAGTGATACCATCGCTGATTTACGCTGCTCCGTGCACATTCGATGCCCCCTATCCCAGGGCGCTAAATCCAGTCTATCCCAGGGCTGCAACTGGAGTCAGGGCTCCCTATCATTAATGGGCGAAGGGATCGTTGGCAATAGCCAACAATCCTAAGATACATGCTTAATTCGGGTCAACCCTCATCCCATTTGTGGGCCAATCGGCGAAGAGTTCGGTCCCATACTGCCTGCCTCGGCTCTGGGAAGCCCCGTGTGATAGAGGGGCCGTGACGGAACACGCAACAAATAGTAGGCCCGAGTACGCGTAGGAAGGACCGCGTCTTAGTCGTGTCTAGTATTGTAATGCACCAACCTCTTCGCTCCATCATAAATCTTGCACTGGCGACCACATCCCGTCCCTATACTACGCGTTTTAAACCGTTTCCCAACTCACCATGGATCGGTTCACATTCTTACCCCAATACCAAGTTCTAGTATGCAAACCCTGTGCCTGCGCCGTCGCGCCCCTGCATCTTGCCAGCCATATCAAGAAAGAACACGCACGCGAGGCAACCCGCGATGCCGGCCTCGATTTCGCGAAGTCTCGAGCAAGTAGACCTGCCATCACTCTTGCCAAGCACCTTCAAGAGAAATATGACCTTCTTGACCCGAGAACTCACGAAATTCCGCGACCGTCGCCCACAGACCCGCCTCTCCCAGATCTAAAACTCTTTCGCGGCTATCAATGTACCCGCTGCGAGTACGTGCTCTCAAAAACAAAGTCGTCCCGGGAATCTATGAAGCGGCACTTCGGTAAACACCGACTGCTTGCACGGAGAAAAGGACGACCTGGAAAGTCAGCGACTATACCAGAAGAAGACAGAGGGCCAATGTTCAAAGAAGTCTATTGCCAGCGCTTTTTCATTTCATGCCACCAAAGCTCTTTTTTTATCGTTCATGTGCCGCCTAACAGACCTGTCAACAATCAAGCTGCAAACAAGCACTTGATTGAGGCTTGACGAAAACTGCAAGCAGGGTTGCAAATAGATAAATCGAATTCAAATCTAATGTCGACCCAAGCGTGCCGGGACGCACGGTGTAACGGGACGCTTTCTCTTCCGGACCCTTGGATTACCCCCAGCGCTCTTGAATACAAACAAATGCAACGCGCATCTATTATGTAGCTCTTGTTCTCCTAGCACATTAGTCTCCGACGCCGAAAAACGAGTCGTTAACCGTGCTGTCGCTCGTTCTGTCAACGCTATCTTCCAACTCTCCTCTATCACTCCCCTGTCCGTTTGCGACAGTACATATCTGCGAGAAGCTCGGTGAGCTAGGAAGGAAGCCAAAATAGCAAAAATTAAGACTGCAGCCTCGCAAGGTCGACTTAGGGTAATATGTGCACATTCCGGCAATTTCTCCGCGCAGACGGCAAGATCGTCGAAATGTGTCCTACAAGACGTACACTGTTAGTCGTACTTGGCATGCAGTAGTGTACAGTAGCGTGCTCAGATATCGCCGTATGCTATCGTAACGAATTTAACGCTATGCCTATAGCAATCAGCTGCTAAGAATAGTTGTAGCACGTGCTAGCAGCTTTCTAGAAGCGTGTAAGTTAACATGCTCAATCTGCTTGCATCGTACCTACATGCCCTAAGACCCTGTTATCCACCCGTAGTTACTCGTGACTTCTCTTTAGTGGAAAAAAGCTGAGAAACAGCAAGAACTATCCTGGATTCATCGAGGGATGTAACGTGACGACAGCTACCTTCTCTACCGGTTTTCGTAGCTTCTAGGCGCTAACACAGAGACTATATATTCGTGTGCATCCCCGTCTCTCTCTATCGAAAAGAAGAACAGCCTTTTGCTTCACTGCGACGAACACATACGAGCGACCTAAGGGTCTATGCTACAAATCCACACTTTTCCAGACCCAACACCTACACCAATCATAGTCCCACACACGGACGAACGCGACGGTCGATACTCTGACGGTACCCATAGCATGTTGTTGCCAGCATGCTGGATCCATATGCGGTCTGAGCTAAAGCCAGTGCCTAGGTATGTAGGGTGCACAGGTTCTGCGAGATCTGTTATGCTAGATGTCTCTAAGCTCTGAATATCGATAGAGCCTATTTCAGTATAGAGGCGACAACCGTCAGGATCAAAAGATAAATCGTGGAGAATTCTGCCAACGTTGAGTGTCTGCAGACACGCGCCGCTGCTCGCATCCCACACCTTGACGGTCCTGTCCCAGGACCCCGACGCCAACCGCGTTGAGTCGTGCGAGAAGACCACGGAGCTGACCTCACTGCTATGGCCCTCGAGCGTCTGCAGACACGCGCCGCTGCTCGCATCCCACACCTTGACGGTGCTGTCATAGCACGCCAACGCCAGCCGGGTCGAGTCGTGCGAGAAGGCCACGGAGCTGACCAATTCGCTATGGCCCTCAAGCGTCTGCAGACACGCGCTCCACCCGTCGCTTAGAGTTGGCCTAATACTGATTGCTTCTGGCTCTTCATGCTGGAATAGCTGTCTGATCAGACTACCTGTCGGACTAAACAGGAGTGCGGATGCATACGTCTGAAGAGGGTAACCTTCGATTGCCCCATTGTGGTACATGATGAATCGCCGTGCGTCTTGAACAAGCTGCGCAAGTCTGTCTTGGTCACACATCTCCTGCTAGCGTTAGCACCCAGGTCGAACGAAAGGCATGTAGATCTTGCGCGACACACCTGCACTAGCGACCACAGTCTTTCCATCGAGACTACGCCTTTCCCTACGCTCTTACACAGACTAAGCCCCTCTAGCCAGTAGGGATACTTCTTCCTTAGAAACTCATCGACAACATCTGCGGCTTGCAGGTTACCCACCCTGTTTGCTAAAGAGTTGGGATTTGAGTCGCACAGATGGTCGATCCAGTAGATGCACGGGTAGCGTGATACTACTAGCGGGTCTGGCTCGGGTAGCTTGACGTTCTCGATAGGATATCCCGGTGCTTCCAAGCTGTACATGTCCCTGTGCAACGTCCTGGATAGAATCGCTAGCGACCTTGAGAAGATTGTCCGATGAACGGCTTCGCTTCCGGCGGGAAAGGCTTCGCCATAAGCCTTTGCAAAGAGGAAGTCTTTTGCGGACTGATGCACAAAGTAGACTGTATCTTCTCGCAAGGTGAGAAACGACCCACAGAAGCCGATAATCTTCCGCACCGACTCCAGGTCGTCCAAGTCCTCAAGCTGCTCCACGAGCGCAACCAGTTCAGGGACCGCAACAGGTCGATACAGGATCGCAGTCGAAGCTAGTACCTGCAGGCAGACCTCGGCGCCGTCAGACTCGCTTATCTGGTTCATCATTCGCTTGTACAAGGAGTCTAGCCCAGGCGGGAATAGGGCTAGCTTCTGTAGCACGTTCCACTTTGGTGTCGATTTAAGGTCCTGACACACCAACGCTACCCAGAGGAAGGTATCGTTAGCGTTTGACCTCAGGTGCTGGAGCACGGCGTGTCGGACCTCTGCCTTGTACCGCTTTTCCTGCGCCAGCTGATCCACCTTCTGCTGTATGAAGACGTCAACTGCAGCCGCAACCGACTGCGCGTTTAGCTCAAGGCTCAGCTTTACTTTGTGTCCTGCCCGCTCTAGCTGTGCTTCAATGTCAGGCCAGTTGCGGCTGGAAACAATCCACTTAACACGGGAAGACGCAGACGACTGCTTTTCGACAAACTCTAGCAGTTTTGACAGATCAGTGACGCACTCATCTAGCGCGTCGATGATCAGATACGTTGGGCACAGGCGTGGGTCTTGAAGCATGTCTTCGAAGATCTCTGCCAAAACTACCCAGGCATTCGCATCTTCGAACAGGGCCTTGCCGGCGCAGTCGTACTTCTTGCGGATGTGCGATGCAAGCGATGGTTGCTGAGTCACAAGCATGTACAACAACCCTCGTAGCGCGGACGTGGCGCTGTTGATACGCGCGTCGGCCGCTTGACAGAAAAAGTACGACAGTAGAGCACTCTCAGGCATCGAACCTTGTAGCTCGTTGACAAGGCCGCAGAGCAACATTGTCTTGCCTTTACCAGGATCTTCTTTTACCCATAGCAGCCGGCTGTGCGGGTCCTGTTGCCATTGCTGGAAAGTGGTATTGTCGAGAACCCAGCGATAGGAGTCTGCTAGCAGTCCTCCTTTTGTATCCTCAATGCGTTTCTTGTCGTCACGAGGATCACCGGAACGTAGGTCACGGAGGCAATCTTTCAGCTTCCGAATCTCATCGTGAAGTCGTCTCAACGCTTCCTCTTCGCCTTCGCCATACACAGGCGCGATATCCACATCACATATTCCTGACATTGAGTATGCCATATCCTCTTTTAGCTTCGTCTTCCTGTCCCCTTTCCAACGTAGGCGCTCGTTGACGTCGAACTGGGAAAGAGTGCCTCCTTCAAATACTTGGTGTGGAATGCCAGTAGTTTTGTTGATCAATGAAATTAACGATGTCTTGTCACCAAGCCTCTCCCATTCTTGAGAGAAGAACTCAACTGTGCTTGGCGCGAGAAGCTCTTGGAGCGTCCAGCCACGCGTGAACCATCGACTAGACCTGAAGGCTGACTCCCAAGTGAGCTCAGTAGGTATGCTGCCAGCTTCCCTCTGCTCTGTTGATACGTCTGACAGGTATACATAGCACTTCGTCGCGTCTTGGTACCAGCGAAACATGGACCGGATAGCCAAGGAGAGCTCAGCCTTGTCTGACTTGTCGATGCAGCATGTGTCAACCCAGAAGTACTGCAGACCATCTTGCTGTGCTTGCTCTCCACAGAAGCGAATCTTCGTGTAGCCAGGCTTGTGCTTGCCGCTGCCTTTTGCAAGGTCCACGAAAGTGACCTCATCTGCATCTGGCCCCCACGTGTGTGAAAGTATCGCATAAGGGGGTATCGCGTCATCGTCGAAGCTGGTAGTCGTAAGGCAGCCATCTTCTCCGTATGCTAGAAGACGCATCGACTCGTGTGGATGTGTGGATGCGTGGTGGGCGCGCGGTCGGAACGAGACGCGAGAGGCTCGACGTGGCAGTCTAGTAGAACGAGGGTGTGGTGGCCGTGCCGTACGCTGTAGACGTCGGCATAAGAGGAGGATAATAGATAGCCGTGCAACTCTACATGCCTTGATGGTAGAACAGCGTTTCCAAAAGCGCGAGCTGAGACGAACGCGCTGTATTGTGTCCTTGGTCTGGCGACGGCATCGCACCAGGCCTCAGGCGGGGTAGATGTGGCTCTATGCGCATGCAGAACGTCAGCCGCAAGGCTGCAGAGCAGCTGCAGCCATATTGAGCGCGTCTTTGGCGCTTCGAGCTCAACAGGCTAGCAAAGGCCTGATGCACGTCAATGTTGCCTGCTATGTAATGATGCAGGATGGAAGAGGTGAACCTAAGTGCGCCGCACGTCCGAGCTTACCAGAGCTCTAGCAACCAAGTAATTGCACCAATCACTAAATGACGCAAGCTCGCTTCATCAACGACTGCACTGCATCGGTCACAACTGTAATCTTTCATTCTATGCTGTTCACACAACGCCCAGTTGAGCAAACAAATAATTAGATGCGAAGCCCAAGTGCGTTCTCTAGTACATGCGCGCCACAGGGACCCTCGGTGACGGTACTAGGGCCCGCAATGGCGTCAGCCCTTCTCTCGCTCGCGCTATTTTTCGCTTTCGCTCTGTTGCGTCTGCCTCTAATGACGCTTTCGTTCACTTTCGACCCCGTTTCCCCTTAGCTTTAGTCGCCTCAGCAGCCTCCGTTTCAGCACGCTTCGCGCGCACATCTTGGAGCTCCTCGTAGCCCATGACCTTGGCCGTTCCCAGCACCAGTGACTTCGTTGATCGTCGCACTTTGGCCTCGTCGTTGACCTTTAGCAGGAGTCGGATATGATTCTGCTGAAGGGCTCCTTTGGCGAAAGATAGTTGGGCCGCTTTCGAAAACTTGCGGAGATGTCGCTGTAGGCTTTGCTTGCTCTTCTCGTCGAGAGCATGCGCGTCCTGCTCGATGATCAAATTCTGCAGGGACACCAGACCTTCTGCTGACACTGGTGTCACGGGGGTTTGAGGAATTTGCTCTTGGGAACTCGGCCCAACGATGACTTTATCGGCTGTCGATGCGGTGAAGGGGCCTATGGCTGGCTTGGGCATAGAGTTAAGCACTCTGTCTGGGTTGAACGGAAACAAGCCACTTGCCGCGAAGCCGGCCTTGATGTTCTTAGCCGTAAAGGCCTTCACTCGTGCAGGGCTGAACAGAGAAGTAAAATGCTCCTTGCCGATCGTGTTGACACCTCCCCGCTCTAGTCGTTCGACTTGTTCGCGATAAGTTGGATCTCACGATTACTGTTTCATATATGTAACATGTCACGTGTCTACAAGTACTTATACTCGTAAAGTAGCTAGCTTTATACAATCAAGCCTGTCAACTCCAACTCGATAGGCTGCCTTCAGCGGAGCAAAGACAGCGACATCGCACGGCTGCAGCTTGTGAGAAGTGTGAGAAGTGTGAGAAGGAAGTCGACACAGCACGATGTTGTTTGCAAAGCAATACTCGAGAATCTCTAGCGTCTCATGCGTACCAAAGCAGATGAAACCCTGAAGTGAGAGCAAGTGTGATGATGTTCTGTCTATGTTCCAGGCTCTATCTATATAGTCAACTGGTGTGCCGTCGCACCATCGTATGGGGAGGTTGTCACACCAGTGTTTGGCTATGCATATCACGTGATCTAGAATCCAACTAAAGCCATCACAAATCAGCACCCGTGGCTTGTTGTTCGCTCGCTCCTTGGTTTCTGGATCAAAGATCCGCTTCAGCCACTGTAGGCTAACATAAGAGTCAGTGTAGCCGGTAGCCGTGCACGCGTACTGCCACCCAGGGGTAGGAAACGTAGTCCAGTTGCTTCGGTGAGTAGCCGCCGGCCATATGATCAGAGGGTTCAGATACCTACCGTCGCCGCTGATGCACTCGATCGCGGTGACCATCTTGCGCTTCACGCGTGCGCCTCTATAGCTTCGCATGTCGTTCTTACCTACCAGCACTTTGGCCGAGCCGAGCATCGATAACATCACGCCAGTCTCATCCATGTTGTACACGTTTTCTGCTAAGACGGCTGGGTCTTGCAGCAGCCTTCCTACTACCTCAAACCAATGGGATATCTTCCAATACGTGTTCTTCTCGTGGCGATTCCAGTCCAGTGCTGTGACCCTTCGCGCTTGCGTGTCTGGATGACGTTTCTCGAAGGCGCGCGCCCAGTTCTTCTTCGGTGGCTTCGGTGGTCGGGCTTGCTCGGATCGCTGGCGGGCAACGCAGAAGGCGAGGAGGGGTATGAACTTGATCCGCACGGGCTGCCCTAGATCAGACATCTGTAGGAGAAACTTGACAAGCGCGTCCTCTTCCCACGGGCTGAGATACTGTTGACTCTGAGCCTTCTCTTCTATCGAGCGGCGGCCCTGGGCACGGGCATGAAGGGTAGAGCGAGAAACCTCGCCATGGTCTGCAAGAGCACGATAAGAAGTGGGCACGGCAGGCGGAAGACCCTATCCCAGGGCGCTATCCCAGGGCGCTAACGACACTCAGCCCTATCCCAGGGCGCTAATGACATTCAGCCCTAACGCCGTATGATCAAATCGGATATGCCCCCTATACCAGTAATGCAGGGGTCGGCTCGCCTCATCCACATAGTGCCGCGCTGTACCGCCTTCCTAAACGGTATCAGCGCTCTGTCAGCGCGTCCGTTCGTAACTCGCTCAAACGCGTAAACGCGTCTGTGACAGGCCGTGCCTGTAAGTAGGCGTTCGGTGATACTCTCAGCCTTGGCACCTAGGACCGATACCAGCTCGAGCCACCGAAGGTTCTCACAAGTTCCACGACGCTCTCCTAGGGTATCGTAATGTTCTCGGCATAACAAAGCTCTCTTCCATGTGGTATAAAAACCCCCCAATACCATGTATCTAGACATTTTCTCTTCAAGTTTGCTATACTCGTCCAATGGGATAGTCAATCGAAAATCATCATTGTCCAAACGCTTCACAGCGTCAAGAGCGCCCTTCATCAATGCGACGCGTCGCCAAAGGGTCGCAGTCTTTTGTTCTATGCCACTACAAGACGCCCATCACGACCGAGTGTGCTAAGCGCGCACTGCCATCCCTCCAATGGTCGATCTGGACCTATCCTCTTTTGTATCTGACTTCATAAAAGAGACCATCTCTTTTCTTCATGATTATCATCTCTTGGTGTGTCGTAGCTGTGGATACGCAGTGCAGGGCTCTCATCTAGCGACACATCTCAGCCAAAAACACAGACTCAGCCGCAAGTTCTCCACTGCAATCGTGGCAACCCTACAGCAGACCTTTCCCAGCGCGTTGTGGACAGACGATGATATCGCCCGATTGCAGCTGCCCACGGCTCCGCGTCCAGCCATTCCCTATCTTCCTACCTACACAAACGGTTTCCAATGTACATACAACGAATCGACAGACTGCCCTTGCGCCTACATTTGCCTCGACATTACAGCTATTCAGAAGCATTGTCAGCACAAGCACGGGTGGATCAACAGCATCAAGCGAGGCGGGTGGAGAGATTTGAGGCGTGGACAAGAAGATGGTTCGCTCCGTCGCCCCTGGCGGGCAAACGTACTATGCCAACGCTTTTTCAGCTTTAGAGGAATGCCGTCGTACTTTCGTGTTCACCAAACGGCGATGCAGACCAACAACTCAGAAGCACAACAGAAGCAGAATGCCATGTTGCGTACAAACGTGGCCGCTGCGGTATCTGAAGTGGAGCTGTGGGATCAGTTTGAGCACGAACTCAACCAAAGCGAGAAGACAACTGCGACAAGCTGCTACGACACGTCGACCACTTTTTATCCTATACAACCAACTCCATGGCTAGAAGTGACTCGGTGGGTTGGTTTTTCTTCAAGGCCATGACTTGGCAAAAGCGGCACAGCTCGTGCTTCTACCCACGCCTGGGCACGCCGATCACGTACTCACCCTAGTTCTTACCGCCTTCGAAGCGTTGGTTGAAGAAGCCCGCATCTCCGTTCAGCAAGACAAGGTTAACGTGTTTGACCAACACCGTGTGAACAGCTTCATTCGTGGTCGCAGTTACCACAGACCCATTCTCGTAAAGCTAAGAGAGGGGACCTACAAAACCTATAGTAAACTCTGGAAACAGCTCATCTGTTTCGTATATAACCTCGTTCAGTGTTGCTAATAGTATGACAATAAAGTAATATACTACAATACATATCATATAATATGCATTTTCTAATATTGTACAAATACAATATGTGGGTTGTAATATTGTGACAATACAATATAAGGATGTCCATATTGGCAATATATTGTCTATATTAGGTTGCCCATTGTCGGCAAATTGCACTTCTTTGTTGACGACCAAGCCCGACACGTGATCAAGCGGGGAAGAAACGCGGGGAAGAAACGCGTGAGGGAAGGTCGAAGCGCGTTGACTTCGCCAACTGGCGGTCGTCTGCGAACATCAGCGCGTTCCTCACCTCTGCCCACCTTTATCACACCACAAGACCCAGAGGTTACCGCCATGCCTCAACAACGCCTTCCTTTTGTACAAACGTCGCAACAAAGAGGTTCGTCAGTATCAGGCAGTCTTTCGGAGGTTTCTAGCCAGCAGTTCCATGACCTGGAAGAGTGCGAAACCTCTAAAGGCCAACCAACGCGTCCTCGCACAGCATCTTCAGTCTCCTCTACCAAGCCACGAACATCATGGGTCTTCTCTCATATGCCAGACGAGGACATAGAGACGAGATATTACAATGAACGGACTAGAAAAGAAGAGTGGCGCTGTAAGCATTGTAACAGAACTTATGCCTGTTCTGGGGGTACTGCGGCTCCTGCAAAGCATCTAATGGACTGTCCTCCTGACGGTCACGGCCTTCCAAGAGGCGCCCCCCGAACGTGTAAAGTTGCAAATATACGAACTATTCTCGAACAAGCTCGTGTTTCGGCAGCAGAAAATCCCCGAAAACGTCGTCGTCTCAACGATCAATCCGGAGACTCGATCGAACCTGATCAGCTCGAAGTGCTGTACGTCAGGTTTCTTACGGCCTGTTCTCTCCCCTTTCGGCTTGTGGAATGCCCTGAGTTCCGAGCTTTCCCTAGCCTACCTCAATGACGATATCGATACTTGGCTTCCAGATACACACGAGACCATCAAGAAATGGATTATGCGGCAGTATGGAAGTCATAAAGAGAAGGTCAAGCAACGTATACAGTCAGCAAAGTCAAGGATTCACATCAGCTGCGACCTTGGGACTTCCCCCAACTCCTTGGCCATCCTAGGAGCAGTCGCTCATTTTGTTACGGAAGACGGTCAGCTGGAACACTGTGTCTTAGCCTTGAAAGATATCGACAGTGAACATGATGGTGAGAACCTTGCAGCGGCAGTTATGGAAGTGGTTGAGGACTGGGGTTTTGCTTCAAAACTTGGATATTTCGTCATGGACAATGCGGGCAATAACGATACAATGATGAGATCCCTTTCTCTTCGTCAGTACGACGTAGTGTCTCTTCTGGTTAAACCTGACTTTCACAGGCCTTCTCCGCCGATTTGATATTAAGTACGATCCCAAATCTCACCGACTTCGCTGCCAAGGCCATATTATCAACCTCGCCGCTAAAGCTTTCATCTTCGTTACCGACAATGAGAACCTCGAAGACGACGATCCAGGCACATATAACGTGACACTGAAACAGATCGAGAACTGGCGGCAAAAAGGCCCTCTTGGCAAGCTTCATAACTTCGTCGTTTTCATCCAACGAAGTGTTCAGCGCAGTCAAAAATTTCTGGCCATTAGCTATAACCGCAAGCTTACGCGAGACAACAGCACGAGGTGGAGTTCGTGGTATATCATGCTACAAGCCGCTTTGGATCTCAGACACGCAATCGATGGCTATTTCGACAAATGGGAGGAAGCAGATTGTGTTGGAGATGAGCTCTCTTCGGAGGACTGGGTCGTACTCGAGAAGATCAAGTCATTTTTAGAGAAGCTAAAAATGGCTACCAAGGCTCTCGAATCATCGTTTGCGACACTCGACAACGTTCTCTTAGCTATAGACTTCATCTTGGCCCAATTCGAAGCAGGGAAGGAGGCGCATAAGGACGATCCTATGAT